CAATATTTCATTTTTATTTTCCCCATCTATAACGGTCGGATGGTATTGTAGCGATAAAATGAAAATATAAAATGAAATTAAATGAAAATATCGTTTTATTTAAACAACTATTATATATTTTAAATAATATTCAATATTTCAAAATTTGTCCAAGCATTGATTTTATGTTGTTAAGAAATGTTGAAATGCTCGTGGATGATATTGCAACACACAGCACGGCGGAAATTCTCTTTGCTTTTTTTTTTTTACGGAGACTACGCGGACCTTCAAACGTTGATCTCAAGAGCACTTTGTCGAGCATACTTGATGCATGAGCGGAGGGTTTACATGCTCGCTAGTTTCCTTCGTGCGCCGCGGGAATGATTCGAACTCGTTAAAAAGCGAAGGAAAGAAATTCCACAAATATTTTTCTATGTAAAAGGGACACGTGCTTTTATCTGCATGAACGGGTCAACCGATTCTCCGTTTCTACTTTGCTTGCTCGTGTGTGGCTTGGCGCGTGGGTGGACCACGTTTCCAAACATCTTCTTTCGTGAAAGTCCACGCGTTGCGACACGACACACAAAATAAAAAAAACACTGTTTTTTTTACTATTAAAGGAGATTAATACAGGGGCGGGGGGGGTAAAAAATATTCAACGAGGCCCCCCTCGAGTTAGTGCTTATTTATCGTGTGTTTAGAACCGGCCCTAAATGTCCCCAGATGCACGGGGAATTTATTCGCTGCCATAAATAAATTTAAGCACATTTTAAAGACACCCTAGCGGTCGTTCTTCGCATTATTGAACATGATTTTTTGATCACCGTATGCGATGAATGGCGGCGCGATAATCGACTTCCTGCGCTCGAGTAAACGCACGAAGCAGAAAGGGGTGTCTCGACCGGTCGTGTTTATCTCCGAAGACAGTAATGATCAAGTCTGCCAATGGTGGTGGCCGATGATTTATCCTTTAAGGCCCGGATCTACGAGTCGTCGTTTTTCATTCCTCGAACCACCGTTCAAAGAGCATCGATGCATTGTTTTCGCCCGTTTCGACGAAACTTGATAAATGTTACGACAAAACGCCGCCGTGATAAACCGTATTATCGTGGTCTTCGAGGGTCTGTGCACTTGAACAATCACCGAGACGTTTCAATTTCGACAGAACGCACGGATGCGCGCGAGACGAACGTGTTTCGAATCACGACCTTCGCTATTTTATAGTTATTTAGTTATTTGTTAAACTGGTATAAAAGCTCATTATTTTGTACATGTTGCAATAGCAATTTATCTTTTGTTCGTTGCTGGAGATTTTTATACGAATAAGAATTTTGCCCATCTTCGTTTATTTTCAGCTTGGTTAGCTGAGTTCTGAGGACGACCACGAGTCAGCCTCGAGGCCGAACTGACGTGTCGAGCGAGCATTCTGAATGCGTTATGTGTCGTTCGTAGTGGTTTCCGGTTTGCAAGAAGAAAGGATACGACGCGAAGATCGCGTCCTTTTTGTCTATGATGTTTTCATCCTTGAACATTTAACCTTCTTTCGCTGTCCCGAAGTAATCTCCGTATTTGTTCTGTTCTTCGTTTCGTGTGCCAAGCACAGATTTAATCAATTTCAACAGAATATTTTGAATATAGTATTTCACATCGCGCGATATAAAATAATCAGTCGTTACTGTTAATTCCGTTTCGTCCAATTCGTTCGAGTAAAAAGTACCGTTAGAATTTTTAGGTTATGTCGACCCATTGAATATTTTCCTCGGTGTTTCGTGAACGATATATTTCTGTGTATCGTGTTATCGTTTGCTTTTCGAATATAGACTTCTTTATTCCCTCGAAGATGTATAGAAAAAAAGTCGACGATGCAGCTGCGCGCACAGAAGCGTCGATAAATCGACGTTTCGTCGCTTCTGGGGTTGGTATTTCTATCTACGCAGATAAGGGATTTTTCTGTTCAGTCGTTTCAAGGTGACGGAGATATTTCGCAGAACGGTTACGAATGTTTTCAAAATATTAGCATGGAAAAAAACCAAAACATAAAACACAATCATCCGTCATTAGTGTAACGCGATACTATTCTACCTTATCCTCGTCTCTTCGATGTTTACGGAGAAATGATGTAACGCTGCTGTCGTGCACCATGCATTTATATCAGTCGATAGAATTGTCGAAATACCATAAATGCTCGGTAAGCAGAGACGAACAGAATTCTTATCCGCGTAATAATTTCAAACAACTAATAAACTTGGCCAATATTTTATTCAAATAATAAATAAGCAATGAACGAGATCGAATAAGCATCACGAGTAAATTGCGTGTGTTTGTTCAATGACCATCAATTCGAATGCAACGTTACCCATCTCTGTCGGTAATCTTGATTTGTACTTAATTTGATCACTGAAAAAATTCACGATATTTTCAACGAAACGAATAGTTTTGTGTTATTAAATTTCTCAATTATTCTATCTAGATTACTAAACATTGTTTCGTGCCGTAATAAAGATTTCATTTCTTTTGCAAATCAGTTTCTCAATATTGCGATAGGTGGAGGATCTAAACCACAAGAGTATCAGGGTTTTTAATAACCCTACGACAATGTCAGCAAGACATTTTTTCGAAAGGGTTACCATAAGCAGATTAGTTCGAGGACGACATTATCGAGCGTGTGAAAAAAACTTAAATTCGTTTTGTCGCGTAAGAATACGATCGTGGGCAGAGTACAAACTGAAGATAATCGGAAAAACGTTGGAGATGAACGTGACACTGCCGTTTTTCTTTTTTCGTTGAATTCTTTCGGTCTAGGTAAAATGCGATCTTTCCCGGTGGGATAATCGAGTTCGATCTCTTGCAATATTCATGTCGACAATTTCAAATGTTTGACGAAGCTTGCACGCCACGCTCCAACGGATTATGCACGCGGAATTACGTAACGCGTACAACGCAACGTGACGAATGTCCAGTGGCTAATTCCATTAAGATACAGATCCAAGGTTCCAGGAATACCGGTAAAAAGAACTGACACGTGCATCTCGTATCGACTGTGCAACCCTAATATGCGTAGCGTTAGAAAATGATGATACATAACCTCACATTTATCGTAGGCTTACGAAGTTTCGCGCAAATCGTAACCAAGTCGTTTAATTGTCTTGAAAAATAGAAACTGGTTAGGATAAAAGAACCACACGTGCTAAGTCATTTACTAAATACTATGGGAATCTTTTCTGCACGCTTGTTTGAAATTATCGGTGATGCAATCGCAATTCTGACTAACGCCAATGTTTTCTTTTCGAATATTAATGATACGAATAGAGCTCTGTATAAACAAGGTTTCAGATGTGTACATAATTTTTTATTCATTAGTATGGATTGTGATTAAATACTAGTAGAACTAGTGCATAATACAAGATTATGCTCTGATTTGGTTTAATTATAGAAAGTCCATTTTGACCCGAAATTAAATTTTTGCGTTATTTATTAATCCAAATAGATTATTGGCACTTCGTAATTGAAACGCTAGTCACCAGTGATCAAAATGGCAGCCAACGTGTTAATCGTCGTTGTTAGACGGTATCTGCCAATCGTAGAGACGTTCGTTTTAACTGAACGTTTGTTTTTTAGAGCAGACGATATTATGACCGACGATCACAGCTGACTATCATTCGGACCATCTGCAATATTTATTATTTTAAAATTTATTTTTATTTTTATTTAATGGATCGTTCGTTATTAACTGTTGCGCGAAAGCATAACATTTCTCTTTTTCTATTATTAGTAAACTATACGTTAAAAAATTTTTTGATGTATCGTATCTTGCGAACGAGTTAGTTTCGATTGATTATGCGCGAAATGCGCGTCGAGTCTAAGCTTAATGGACGAAACGCTGATTGAATATCAGCGCTAATAGTCGCTGGCGTTGTTCATGCCGCTTTCTACGGAGCGATAAATAATCGTTGCATACATGCATAACACGGTCGATCGCGCGCAATTCGCAGAACCTTCGCAATGTCGTGCAGTGTTCATTCATGCTTCTCTTCGTTAGCTTTCCTTCGAAGACGGAGTTTATTTCAAACCAGAGGTTATCGCATTGTCTGGATTAATTACAGCTGTTCCCTCGGTTGTAACATGTAAAATGCGCCTGTAAAGCTTCTTTTTTCAAATAGCATTTTAACCCCATGTCGTACAATGACGAAGCTGCTTAAGTTGAAAATACATTTTTATTAAAAATTATAACGAACGTCACGCGTAACGTTCGTTGGCCATCAGTTATTCGAATAAAAGTTTCCCCGGTCGCTTGTCCCAGCCCTAATTCGAATGCATACGAAAAGTTTTTCGATCACGCGTTACCATAATTTTTTGCCAAGATACCTAGCTGGGTATTACGTTACACAGGAGAAATAATCTCTTCCCTCAGAATTACGCTTCCATGAATTCTCAATGCACTCGAACAAAACGGAAAGAAAATAAACGGAACGTTCCTACAAATGTTAGGTTAGAAACGTATCTTTGCAGCAACGCCGGGGCAACGATATAAAAAGGTACCGGCACGGTTTTACGATATTATACAGGGTGTTCGACCAACCCTGGGAAAAATTTTAATGCAGAAATTTGTTGATGGAGGCTTCGTTAAAAAGTTATTAACATTTGAAGTTCCACCAGTAATGAATTTTTTTCTCGAAACTTGGGTAGGATTTCGGGGGTATGTCTATTCACCAAAAATAATTGCAATTGTCCCCCGCAACTGAAAATAATTTTTCCAGAACGATTTGAAATTTTTTTTTCGTCGTAAAATTTCACACCTTTTCGAATTTTTTTCTAGAAAGTGGGTAGGATTTCGGGGGTATGTGTAATGACCAAAAATGATTATAATTGACCCCCACAACCGAAAATAATTTTTTTAGAACAATCTGAAAAATTTTTTTTCGGCGTAAAATTTCACACTTTCACGAATTTTTTTCTAGAATGTGGGTGAGAATTCGGGGGTATGTCTGTTGACCAAAAATACTTGTAATTGACTGCTGCAACTAAAAATAATTTTTCCAAGCCGATTCGAAATTTTTTTTTTCGCCGAAAACTTTCAGCGCCTATTCGAATTTTTTTCTCGAAACCGAGTAGGATTTCAAAGGTATGTCTTTTGAGCAAAAATGCTTGTAATTGACCCCTGAAACTGAAAATAATTTTTCCAGACCGATTTGAAATTTTTGAATTTAATTGTTAATAACTTTTTAACGAAGCCTCAGTCAAGAAATTGATATTCTTGATTTTCGTCTTATTTAGGCCTCTAGAATCTCCCATTAAAATTTTTCCCTGGGATGACCGAACACACTGTATAATGAACACCGTACACGTCGAATTATTCGTACCATAAATAGCCCGACACCGTTAGCGTAGATCGCAACGAGATCGCTAAATTATCACCGTTGGAATATGCACGTGAAATTGGCTGTTTCGAATACCGAATCCCATCAGAAATACTTCTTTGCCTCGCTTGTATATTTTTCCACTCAACGAATACGAAACGGCTCGGCGAGCGAGACATACACTACCCGCCAAAAGTTTCGAGTCGTTGAGTGACCAAATCCTTTTCGATTCGATGCTACCAGGCTTTGAACTGCCTAATTTTCTATGATTCCAGATCGATCGATAGATAGATTCAAACTCGTCAAAGATCTCTTGCACAATGCTAATAATATCAGCAAATTTACATTTTCAGTTTCACGAAACAAATAAATTCAAATTTTCTCCGCGTAAATAGTCAATAGAAAATGGCGTACAAATATTTTCTACGGTATTTCGTAACGACGGAAATTCTTTTGGAAATTATTTGCCGGATTTCTCATTAATTTATTACGTGGTTCTTCGTGACACACCTAGCGGGAAATCGTGCGTTAATCGAAGCCTTCTTTCTGGAAACTCGACTGCGATGACTGGCTGACCGTTCGACGAACTGTTTCTGTACTTGAATTTTTGCCAGAACTTCCGTGTATCTTTCTCGCGCGCTGACACCGATCAATCGTTACGCGTTTTAATATTTTCCTTGCTTCTTTGTCGTTTAATATTTTTCGTCGATCGTTTCGGCATTAAATTCGTGTAAACGATTGATTTTCAGTAGGCGGGTTCGGTGGACGAATACTTTAATTACCCACTGTATATTGTAAGTAGGCTAGTACACTTTGTACTCTGTGATAGCGCCACTATAATTCTCCGTCGCGTTCGGTCGAGTTTGCAACAATTTCAGCTCAATAAAATAGCAGCGGTAAGAATTGAACAGATTCTTTCTCATAAATTGCTATAGTTAAACTTTAATTTCCGACCGACAGTGTATGCCAGCAGTTAAACGTTAAACCTGCAACATCCTCATTGGGAACTGTTGCATTTGCATAATATATCTACACTATTGTGGCCACTTTCCTACACTTAATGTATATTCGTTTATTTTGAAAAAAGGGTATCAATCAGTTGATTCTTCGGGGGTACAACAAATTTTGAAAAACGTGAAATATATTTTTGAAATAATCAACTCAATGAATAACCGTTGCATCGCGTTGGTCCAGTATAATTTTCTCCGTCTCTGTCCACTGCACGCATCTGTCCTTGACTTGGAACGAGCGTGTTTGGAAATAAATAACACAATGCTTAATTCTTGGAACACCAATTCTACGATATCTCGGTCCCCATGCCATGACCGTTAGGGAGATATTTACTTAAAACATTCCAGAAGCTCGACTTTCGAGCCAAGAAAAACTCAACCCGTTCAAATCGTATTGACCATTCGAGCAATACAATAATTTATCAGTTTATGCAATTTATATTGCGTAGTAGTATTAAAAATTTGCTATATCTGTCGAACTATTTAATTCCCAGAAATTAGATCTTCGATAAGGAATTTTTTTCTCGAAACTGAGTAGGATTTCGGGGGTATGTCTCTTGACCAAAATTGCTTGTAATCGATCCCTGGAACTGATAATATTTTTTCCAAGACGATTCGAAATTTTTGTTTTTCACCAAAAACTTTCAGCACCTACTCGAATTTTTTTCTCGAAACTGAGCAGGATTTCGGGGGTATGTCTCTTGACCAAAAATGCTTGTAATCGACCCCTGCAACAGAAAATATTTTTTCCAGAACGATTTGAAATTTTTTAATTTCACCGAAAAATTTCAACACCCACTCGAATTTTTTCCTCGAAACTGAGTAGGATTTCGGGGGTATGTCTAATCACTAAAAATGTTCGTAATTGACCCCCGCAATCAAAAATAATTTTTTCAGAATGATTTGAAATTTTTTAATAACTTTTTAACGGAACCTCAGTCAAGAAATTGATATTCTTGATTTACGTCTTAATTTGATCGAACAACCTGTATAGATAACATAAATTGCATGTAATATTTCGCTAGACGGTGTTTTCATTCGTTATTTATTATTGGAATAAAATTTAGTTCGTTTTTAGTTTTTCCTCGATCAGGGCACTAATCGATGTTAGCGTTTCTCTTTGCACGAGACATCGATGTCCTTTGAACTTGAACTTAGGATCCTTTCTCTAGCAATTAACGACGCCGCGATGCTGCTGGCGGTCCCTCGTGCGGAAGTGGCAGGTTCTATGCGTTTGTCGGTTTTATTGGACCTTCCGGTGTGCGTGCCGCGCTTAAGTTACTTGGGCGTTAACATCAGGGTGATTATCTGGTTAACGCGAGTTCGTTCTGCGTTTCGCAGGCTCTTTCCCACATTTATAAACGACGCGTGGTGGAACGGTTTTGCGTATACAGCTGTTTCAGACGGACCCGATGTAAACACGACCTCCGCGTCTCATCTTTTTGCTTGTACCACGGCCGCGATAGAACGTTTGCGAAACCTTCTACCAAAATGGTATTTTAATGGACTTCAAAGTGGCTTAAACATTATCTACATTTCTTAAATTTAATTACTTTCTAGTATCAATATATGATTCATCGTGATAGAAAAGCGAAGAGATATCGTTGCCTAAAATTTAGATAATAAATTCCTTCATTAATGGAGACGAGTTGAAACCTTCTATTTAAATCTCTTCTGGTAAAATAACTTCATTTATCGAATTGAAATTTTACGCAGAGCAAGTTTAACCGAACTCCTGCCAAAATATATTCGAATCCTCTTATCTGAATGTGCACGCCAGTTATTTGAATGAAAAATCAATAATGGGGTGAATTAGCGAGGTTCTATTATATCGAACGATCCAGTTATATAAACTGTTTGTCCTCCGACAGGTTCAGACAAATGGAGTTCTACCGTATATAAGACAATGATCAATAATAATAGGAATAATAAGTCGATGGTTGTGGCATATCTGATCAGACTAAGAGAGTTAAACCAAAGTACGCAAATAATTTAGATATTTATATCAAACACATTAAATTGAATAAATTTAACCCCTTGACACGGTGGTCACCGGTGACCGGCAACAGAGAAATAGAGAAATTTTTGGGCAAAATTAAAAAGTTTCAAATCGTTTTGGAAAAATTATTTTTGGTTGCAGGGGTCAATTACAATCATTTTTGGTCAATAGACACACCCTCGAATTCCTGCGCATTTTCGAGAAAAAAATTCGTGTAGGTGGACAAATTTTTCCAGAAAATTAAAAAATTTCAAATCGTTTTGGAAAAATTACTTTCGGTTGCGGGAGTCAATTACAATCATTTTTGGTCAATAGACACACTCTCGAATTCCTACTCAGTTTCGAGAAAAAAATTCGTGTAGGTGGACAAATTTTTCGAGAAAATTAAAAAGTTTCAAATGTTTTTGGAAAAATTATTTTCAGTTGCGGGGGTCAATTATAATCATTATTGGTCAATAGACACACCCTCGAATTCCTACTTAGTTTCGAGAAAAAAATTCGTGTAGGTGGACAAATTTTTCGAGGAAATTAAAAAGTTTCAAATCGTTTTGTAAAAATTATTTTCAATTACTAGGGTCAATTACAATCATTTTTGGTGAATAGAGATACCCTCGAAATCCTACTCAGTTTCGAGAAAAAAATTCGTGTAGGTGGACAAATTTTTCGAGGAAATTAAAAAGTTTCAAATCCTTTTGGAAAAATTATTTTTGGTTGCGGGGGTCAATTATAATTATTTTTTGTAAATACACATACCCCTAAAATCCTACGCACTTACGAGAAAAAAATTAGTTACTGAAAATATAACGTGTGGCCAGAAAAGTTGATTATACGCAAGTAAGTAGGAAGCACGTATCATTGCGAAATCGATTATACGATGACGTTTGCGAGCTTCGAGAGACGCCAACGTTGCGAAATGATCTTGAAGACGCATAATTTTCATCGATGCACGGCGCCGATCGTCTCAGAACTTTTATAGGAGGAAATAAGTAGCTCGATGGACTCTCGGATATAAAAGTTTCCTGTCGGAACATGATCGTTGACCATGATTGTCCCGACTTTCTAAAAAAGTAAAAGAAGAGAAGAGGATGATCGAATCTTGAACCGATTGACACATGTTATATAAATAGAAAATGTCGTCACTCTTTTAACAAAACTATAGTAGTATTAAGGCGTATGGTAACGAGTTGATCTCGGGGAGTCTGTTTAGCAAGTGTTGCTCTTACGAGAGTTACTATTGGAATAGTATAATATCGTTCAGATTTATTTTTCCCAACATTTAAGATCTGGGAAAATTCACCCGTTTGATTCTAGTGTAATTGAATAAAAAAAAAAAAAGAAAATTCGAATTTGAAGAAGTTCAAGAAAGGTGTACAGAGAGCGTTGCTTCAGCGTGGCCCGTTTCATCGCGACACTCTAGCGACGCAGTTACATTTCAAAATAGCGCGTGTCGCTTCGTTTCAGATGAACCACGTTCAAGGTGCAGATCATGGGATGACGTAGGACCGACTAAAATGGAAACTGTCGGCCAAACGCACAGACAGCATCACCCTTCCTTGGAGGCGACCAGGTCCAACACCTCGACGCAGTCGGCCAGAAGCGAGGATTCCTGGTGCTCCGCGTCGGATCATGACCTCTCCTCGGACGACGAGAGCGAGAAGAGTAATATCAGTATTAAGTAAGCGTCAAAATCTTAAAAACATTCATACAGAAGGAAAGATTCTAAACAATTCTAAAATAGACAATTAATATTTTCATTCGTAAATTGCTGATGCGAATAAATCTAAAACGACAATCGTAGTAATTTCCCGTAGGTCTAAAAAATATTTAATATCCCGCGATTTAGAATCTACTAGATTATTTGTTGGAAATTGGACGTTCGTTAAATAAATTGGGGTGTCGTTGGTCGTACAAGCGTGTTTACGTTATACAACGTTCTCGACCCTGGGATTCAGGTCCTCCCCGGTGTAACGATTATTGTTAATTCGTTGCAGAAGTAATTGCCAATTGAGGAACACGTTGCACAAGGCGAGGACGCTCTGCGACAAGTGGAGGTCGCAGAATATGCGAGTGAGCAACGCGGACCCGTTGGACTCGCCCGGAAACCATGGAAGACTGTCGAGATGGTTCAGCATTCGACGAGGCTCGACGCAACAGTACGACGTCGACTCCTCCGACACGGTGTCTCTTACGAGTCCCATCAAGGCGCCGCAGATGCCGCAGCTGTGCGAAGTAATGACGATAACGGATCGTTTGGGATCCTCGGTTTCTTAACTGTTAAAAGAGGATAGCCGTTTTCCTTTTAACGCGTACGATATAACGCAAGGTTAAACTTTCCACGGATTCATCCCCCCTCGAGCTCAACGAAACCCGACACCCGGTAGAAAAGGAAAGAGAATCGATAAAAGTGCAGAAAGCGAGACACGCGCGGTACAAAGAGATGCCGTAAGAAGATTTTCAAGTCCCGACGTGCTAAATCCATTCTCTTTTCTCGTCGAGGGCAATATTCGGTTTCGATTCTGCGAAAAATACCCCCGACATAACCTCCTTCGCCGTTGGGTCCCAATTCTTAGGAAAGTTAACCCTGCATTGCCGGTGTTCCTTTCTTGATTCGAAGATGTTTCCTTGCTCGTACCCTATTCAATGTTGTCTCGAAACGTGGAACGATATTCCAGATGTTGGAAACTCTGCTTCAGATCGAGGAGGAGAACAGCAGCGCGATGTTGCAGTTCCAGTGCATGCAACAACGCAGGCAGACCCCGCCGGCCCTTCCACCGACGCCGGCGAACTTAACCCCCCAGCAGTTGAAACGTCGACACATAGTGGCCGCTATAGTGCACTCCGAGAACAGTTACGTGTCGACGTTGCAGAGGCTAGTGAACGTACGTACGGGCGGACGCGAAAGCTCCAGCATACGCTCTCGAGGAATCTCGCGTTTTCCGTTTAACTCTTTGACTGCCACGTCGCCCATATATGGGTGACAGAACTTTTAACAGTGGAACTAAAACAATGAATTCTCAAGTTGAAACGTTAAAGAAAATCAATTTTAATAGGCTTCGTAAATTTGAACGAGGTTAGAAAAGTAACTATTACGACAACTTTTAAGTTGTGTAGTTTACAATTGCCTGAAATTAAAGTTTTGGTCTCGTAAACAATTTTAGGATTTTTGACTAGCAGTCAACGTGTTAGAAATATACCCACCGTGTTGCAGGATTACAAGAAACCTTTGGAGGAGTCCTCGCCGCCCATACTGAGCCAGGCGAAAATAGTAACGTTGTTTCATAGACTGCCGGAGATTCTGCAATGCCATACGTTGTTCAGAATCGCGCTGGCGGAATGCGTCCGCTCGTGGGACAAAGACGAGAAGCTTGGGGACGTGTTCGTCGCGAGCTTCAGCAAAGCGATCGTTCTCGACATTTACAGCGGGTTTATAAATAATTTTTCAAGGGCCATGGATCTGGCTAAACAGGAGTCGAAGAGAAAGACCGCGCTCGCCGACTTTTTCAAGGTAAACGGTAATGTTCTTTTCCCGCTAATTGTACATACGCCGGGCGACGGAGTAAACGAACCGCCGTTTCTTGTGCATCAGGTGAAGCAAATAAGCGCGCACGACAGATTGTCCTTCTTCGGATTGATGGTCAAGCCAGTGCAGAGGTTTCCGCAATTTATACTATTTTTACAAGTAAGTGTACCGCGTTCACGTTTAACCTTCGATGATATTGCATCGGAATGACATAAGATTGTCGCGGCAGGACTTGCTGAAACACACGCCGCAAGGGCACCACGATAGAATGTCGTTGCAATTAGCGTTGACCCAATTGGAGAGTTTGGCGGAGATGCTGAACGAGAGGAAGCGCGAGGCGGAACAGTTCCAAGCGTTCAAAGAGATGCTGCGACACGTGTCCGGGAAATTGTCACATCGTCCACTCTCGTCTTCGTCCAGGTATCTCATCAGGGAGGACAACGTGACGCAACTGGTGAGTGTAGCAATTTTTTAAGGAATCTACCAAACTTTATGGTGATTTTATTGGGTTGGTATGACATCGTCAATTTTCATAGGAATTTAATCAGAATGGAATGATAACGAAATCCAAAAGACGAAGGTTACTCCTGCTGAACGATCTCGTGGTGTGCGTCTCGGTAACGCCAAGGTCCGCGGAGGATTTCAGCGGCAGCGAGAGACTTACTCTAAAGTGGACGTATCCTGTGTCAGATATCGAGGTATAGTAATCTAGTGTACGGTTGTTTTACGAGGGTCTAAAAATATTTTTAATATCGTAATGTCTCAGATTCAGGATACGAGTACCTCGCCAACGTTGAGTCGTTTGTTGACCGCTGGCCTGAACAAAGGCGGCAGTTTGAAATCTGACAAAAGCGGAGAATGTGGACAAGCAGGGGCGGACAATCTCTGCGTAGAAATGAACGATCTTATGCACGATTACGAAGTAATGTCTAGGATAAGCGATTTGGTTGCACAGCTGAAGGGCAAATACGAGGTAAGGAATAACTTTAAAAAACTCGCAACATTGCAATCACTTCCGGTTGCAAATATCAGTTTGTTTTTGCATTTAATTTAAAGGGGATGACGCTCGAGAAGACCAAACAAATTCTACAATCCATACAATTGTCGATACAACAAAAGGACGAGGACATGGTTTGGGCGGACAGTTGTTGCCTGCAGTTGGTAACGAAGCAAGGTCAAATGTACACCTTCCAAACCGAGAATCCCCTGGTGAAGAAAGACTGGATAACCGAACTTAGGCTAGCGCAGCTGGCTCTGGACCCGAACAATTCCCCTTCTTGGGAAGTACCTGAACAAGAACAAAGACCATCCACCAAGATGCCGCTTTTCGTTAGCTCGCAACAGGTGTACCATTCGCAACATCAGACAGAAGTAAGATATCAATGGGATCTTTCAGGGTGTTTGAATTACCAAAGGCGATGGTACCCGGTTAACCTCCATGTTTTTTCCATCGTTTTCAGGTACGTTGCGGTTGTTACTACACTGCGCAGAATCCACGTCCGACCAGGCGCCGCGGCAGAAGTCAAAGCTACTTATGGATATGCACGGGTGACGGTATATCCAGTCACGTAACGGTATTCGGCCAGTCGACGATAGCTTCGGCGACCTCTTTGAAGCAGATCACCGCGTTCGACTTGGTGGAGACCCAGGTGGGTGCTATAGAGTTCGTGAAGGGCTCCGCGTCCGATCCGTTGTCGCTGGCGGGCGACGTCGTGTGGATGGGAACGGACTCCCGCAAGATCATAATCTACGCCGCCTCGGAGCCCGAGAAACAGGAGGAGCTGGGCAACTATTCGGTGTCGGGGCCGGTGATGCAGATCAAATACCATTGCGACAACGTCTTCGTCGCGCTGGGAGTGGGTCTGTTGCTGCTGTTCAGACGGCAGCTGGACGGCGCGTGGAACCTCAGGGATCCGTTCGTGATAACGTTGGGCAACGAACCGGTCTCCTGTCTGATGCCGATCAACGCCTCCGTTTACGCGGCCTGCGGTAAAAAGGTTTGGGTACTTAACGCGGTGACCGGTGACATCGCGAAGAGCTTCAGCGCTCAGCACGAGCACGTTGGCAGCGTGAAGCTGATGGCTCACTCCGGCGTGGGTCTGTGGGTCGCGTTGAAGAACTCGAGCACCGTTTGTCTGTACCACACGGAGACGTTCAAACACCTGCAGGACATCAATATAGCGTCGAACGTGCTGAGAGTGACCAGATCGAACAACGCCACGAACTCCTGCGGCGACAATTTGAACAACAATCAGACGTCCGTGACGGTGACGGCGCTGCTGGCGTGCAAGGGCCTGCTCTGGGTGGGCACCAACGTGGGCATCAGCCTGACGATCCCGCTTCCGCGATTGGAGGGTGTACCGATCATCAGCGGTCGCGTGAACATCTCCTATCACGCGCACTTCGGTCCCATCACCTTCCTGCTGGCCATACAGAACCCGAAGAACTCGGTGAATTGCTCCACGGACGAGACGAACGACGAGGACAGTGTACAATTGAGGCCCAAGGAAACGGAGAACAGAAGCGTCAGGGATCGTGCTAGCCTGGACTCGTCGATGTCGAGCAGCATCGTGAAGCTGAAGCAACAGCTGGCGGGCAGCCCGGTGATGCTGAGACGGAAACGTAGCAAGGAGTACGAGTACAGGGGTTCGAAGACGCTTCCCAGGGGTTTGGGCTCCGGCGGTGGATTCCTGTCGAACTCGATGTCCGGGTCGCAAAGCTCCGGGGAGAATTGCGACGTTTACGGGCTGTACGGGGAACTGATGTACGTGAAGGATTACGAGAACGAGAACAGCTCCGGTATCGATCCGATTTACGAGTCGTTGAGGAGAAGCGACCCGGAGCTGGCTGCCATACCAAATAAAGTTAGTACCTTAGACCGTAGATTGAAGATGAAGATCACCAGACCCAGGTCGTTGGATCTGTCGAATTGGTCGGTCGACTCGCACGCCAGTTCCCTGTACACGTCCTCGGGTTCCGAGGAGAACCTGTCGCTGAAGACGGGCAAATTGTCGCGCAACAGCAGCACAGCCAGTAGAAACGGACCGTACGACGCGACCGCCACTACCAACAGCAGCATGGTGCAGTCGGTGCCCGAGACGATGCCGCAGTCCACTAGTATAAAGACGAACGGTAAAAAGATGAACAAGACTCTGCAGCAGATAGAACAACCGAAACGAACTGTTCTGACGCTGATGGGCGGCCGTGGTTACATTAATTGGAGGCAGTTGAACGCGCAGTCCCTCACCGACAAGTCCTCCAAGTCGGGCTACACGTTCAAAGATCCAAACAGCAACGACGCCCACATCGTCCTGTGGGAGATGAAATTATGATACTCAGTTACGCTAGGCCTATCGTTACGCCTATGTTGGTACGAGTAGATATGTTAATACTTTCGGGGCCGGTTACGATAACGTTTTCTCGTAGTATCGGCGAATAGGACCAAAAAAAAGAAACTACTGTCGAACTGATATCTCTTTAAGTGATAAGGATCCAGGGACGGGGACTGATACTGTACCGACGCCATCGATAAATAAGCAAAGTACCGTTTCCCATTAAATTTCGTTAATTTCGTAATCGATTGATATCAATTGCGGTTGCTTCTGACTATTAAATTTCCTATCGCGATTGATCGAATGATAATTAGCCGTTACCGATACCGTATGAACCGAGTTAGCATCGATATTGTTGTAATTGTGTAAAATATAGGAAACAGAGTCTGATATTAACTGAGTAATTGTAATCGAACACAAACGTTAAGTAATTCCTTTTACCAATTAGATTTCGTGATTAGTTGAAATTGTGTCTGTCTTCTTGCGTTGCTTACTTCGATACGTTTACGATAGCATCGATGCATACGTTATAGGTTATACTTGATATAAAATTGCTTGGATATCGTCGACGTGTATCGGTATCAGTCCCTTCTCTAAATATAAGGATACTCGGTGGTAAGGATTCGTTGATTAATTAGCACGGTTTTAAGTCAGTCGCTGGTGTTCATTTAGAAATGTTTTGAAACTACAGGACAGTCCTTACCGTTAGCAGTGACAAATGTCTAGTTCTCGCGTAGCTCTCTTGAAGATAAAAACGTTTTTGTATTTTATAACACGCTTCCATCGTGTAGTAAAGATATCGTATACTTTGTTACAAACTGCGTTCACCGTATACGCTCGTGTCTGTTATTGCCAGTGATTCTTAACCACTGTTTCGTAAATGTTTAACAAGAGATTTAATGAATTCCTGTTATAGCTTTTAAAATTAACGCTATGACCATCGTTTCGGATCAAATGCAGCACTCATTCTCCATAAACCGTGCCACGAACTCGGGAACGACTAACCTCTTTCAAAGCAGTGATGGCGAACCGAGAATCTTTTACCCGCCAAAATTTCTGTATCGTGGCGTGCTGATTTACAATCGATATAAATCGGTTACCAGAACGAAATACTAAATGTTTACATCTCTAATCACAGTTTTTATTTATATCGTACGTTAGCATTTAATTACTTCGATCGTGATGATAATAATTGGTACTGTACAGTCGAGTATCATGACTAGCATTAAGACTAATATAAATATTATCGATACCAGATAGGTTAGTATCATAGCCTTTGGCATCAAGTTACAAATCGATATTTTCTGCCAACTACTTTGGTATTGAGTTTTTTGAATACGAAAAATCATTGTTTGCATTTATCATTGTACGAAAACGTCCTTATTTATAATAATCGTTCATCATTGTATCGGGTCTGGATCATTCGTAAAGTTTCATCGAGATTTGTTGATATTTACCAAAAATATTCACCGCAGATCGGAACAATTACTACTTGTTCGTCTGTTAAAAAATTAATATACAATTGTTTGCCATCACTGCTCTGAACTGTGCCGTGGGGCTTAAAGAGGTTAGGGACCACTGCATCTATATTTTTTGTGTGCAAATTTATAATAGAGAAATTAGAGTCTGGATAATCTAGAGCCGTGTTACGATTTGAGTGAATTCGGAAATTGTTGTGAGAGTGTGGTACGCGTTGTTGATGGATAAATTAGCTCTCGAACGTGTATTTTAATAAATATTGTTATTATTGAGGTTATACGGCAGAATAATTTAAAGCAGCGAAATATACGCGTTATCGATAATATGTTGAAGAACCTGTGAAATTCAAGGTTCTTTACGAATTGATCTTGAGTGAGATTTAGAACGAAACCGAGCGAATACCCGTTGATTCGAAGCTCGATTATATCGAGCTTTATTTGCTCGGTGACGTTTCGTAAGATACCGAGTCTGTATCGTTATCTTACGCTTTTGGTACGCAGGACGTTTCGTATCGAGGGAAAGACGATTGAATTTTTTTATGCATTTTGCAATTTTCATTTCGAGTCTTGTTGCGAAAACTTAAGGGACTCCCACCCCTTTTTACACGGGGGAAATGAAACAACACAGAGCAGCACGTCTGTGATTTATTCATTTGATTTGTTAGCCGCTATTAGCGTACAAAGAATCTCTGACGATATCTCTAAAAAAAAACAAAAAACAAAAATAATTCTTTTTTTTAATTTTTTCAAACGAGAAAAAAAATAGAAAAATGTAAAAAAAAGATACAATTACTATTGAAACGCTTGCGCGAACTTATTAGGACGCGTTTGGTTTTTGTCGTTGGACGAAATGAAAAATTTAAATGGAAATTTTGATGTTTAGTTTTGTTGATGTGCTTTTGTGAGAGAAAAAAAGTGAAATCTCATTGCAACTGCACTTTAACGGATGACGATAATGGATCGTCCTAGCGTTTAATAGCATTTTTTCGTGGGTGCGTAAAGATATTTTATATCTTTTATAAGCGTCGGCACGTTGAACAGTTTTGATATATATTTTACTGTCGAACGCGATAGAGTCAGAGTTGGGGGAATTTTATTCTCGAATAACGGAATAAAAATGTTTGATCTATTCGTAACCTAACTTTCGCCCACGGCGTTGTACGTCTGAATATCGATTTGAAAGATTCGTTTGATGGATTCTAATTTATAAATGAATTTATTGTATTTGTTGTTCGTGAATAAAATTTTTGCCCTACGTTGGGGAAGGATTTCTTCCAGAATGGGGAGAGAATCAGCGAAGGGAAAGGAATAGAACGAACGGAAATGATCCCAACGATCGACGACGTGCGTTGTTTGTTTGTTCTCTATTTGTGATAGATTCGAACGAGGACGGAGAGGGGTTAGAAGGGGGAAAGAGTTTATATCAGTTACCCAGTGAGAGAAGTATATCGTAGTTTTGTCGCAAATGTGCTGTTAAGTTTTCCGCTATCGGCATGGACGAACGAAAAGTCTGCGTGTACATATACATTTTCCGAGGAAATTAATTTTTATATGGAATTGAATCCTGGATAGATTTATATTTTGTACACTACCTTTTTTTTTCTTTTTTCTTTTAGGTTTATATAAATATATACATATGTAATCTTATTTTGTATTTATACGGATGATACACATACACGTGGAATAATTATTCAGCAATATTTTGTTACACGTACGTACACGCACACATTGAGCACACGTGCACATGTATTTATTACTTAAATGCCGTAGCGTTGTGTCCATTGTTATGCATATATACATGCTGTATATGTATACGAGTCCGAAAATTTTGTTACGTTAGCGTTTCGGAAAGGTTCTTCGGTACGATAATTTTTGCACTCTTTGTATGGCTACGTTGCTGAATATTAATAATTATTTAAAAGCGAACAGAAGATTGTTTAGCCCCTCTACCTTTCCTCGCATGTATCGAAGTTTACATTCTTTTGCTTAAGTTTTATTTTGATCATTACTGTAAGTTCACAATTAAATGGAAATCGTGATTACGTGCGAAACAAATATTGCTAAACCCATCATCCTATCAAGTCATATTTTCCATAGTTATACAGGCTGTCCAGCCACCCCTGGGAAAAATTTTAGAGAGTACCAATTTGTTGATGGAGACATTGTTAAAAAGTTATTAATGTTTAAAGTTCCGCCTGTTTTAAATTTTTTTCTCGAAAATGCACAAGATTTCGAGGTTATGTCTACTCACCAAAAATTATTGTAATTGACCGCCGCAACCGAAAATAATTTTTCCAAAACGATTTGAAATTTTTGAATTTTGTCGAAAACTTCACACCTTCCCGAATTTTTTTCTAGAAAGTTAGTAGGATTTCGGCGGTATGTGTAATGACCAAAAATGATTGTAATTTGCCCCAGTAACAGAAAATAATTTTTCCAGAACGATTTGAAATTTTTGAATTTTGTTGAAAAACTTCATATCTTCCCGAATTTTTTTCTAGAAAGTGGGTAGGTTTTCAGGGGTACATGTAATGACCAAAAATGATTGTAATTGACCCCCACAACCGAAAATAATTTTTTCAAAACGATTTGAAATTTTTGAATTTTGTCGGAAAACTTCACACCGTATCGAATTTTTTTCTGCAATGTGGGTAGGTTTCCAGGGGTACATGTAATGACCAAAAATGATTGTAATTGACCCCCACAACCGAAAATAATTTTTCCAAAACGATTTGAAATTTTTGAATTTTGTCGAAAAACTTCGCACCTTCTCGAATTTTTTTCTAGAAACTGGGTAGGATTTCGGGGTTATGTCTATCCACCAAAAATGATTGTAAGTGCCCCCTGCAACCAAAGATAATTTTTCCAAAACGATTTGAAACTTTTTTTTCCCGTCGAAAAATTTCACGCCTTCTCGAATTTTTTTCTAGAAACTGGGTAGGATTTCGGGGTTATGTCTGTCCACCAAAAATGATTATAATTGACCCCTGAAACCGAAAATAATTTTTCCAGACCGATTTGAAATTTTTGAATTTAATTGTTACTAACTTTTTAACGAGGGCTCAGTCAAGAAATTAATATTCTTGATTTTCGTCTTATTTTGGCCTCTAGAATCTCCCATTAAAATCCCAGGGATGGCTGATTTAACACTGGTACGGTGGATCTCAAGGTGTGTACACTCGTATGGTTTTCTTTTATTATTACAATTCATAATATAAATGGTAGTAGAGGTTAACGGTACGTGCGAAGAACAAGAGAATCACACAGATTCATGTTTTGTCTGATATATATATATATATATATATATATATATATTTATATATATATATATATTTATTCTTTGTACAATATTACGATATGTTTACATTGTAGTATGGCGCATAAATAATTTTTTTTTTTTCACATAATTCTACTGATATCGCTTTGTAACATCTCTGACAAGGGAAACGAATTTACAATTTCTCTGTTTCTATATATCTTTCATGACACCTACTACGATATGCATGGATAAGTACAATATGTGTACTATACAATATAAAATATCGATAAGTATAGAGTAAATTATTTTTCTACTTTGTTGCGGTTATGTATGTGAATCTATCGCATACAATGAACACTCTACATTGCATATATCCTTCCGTTTTAAATAATCGTAGAAACTTTCCTTCCAACTATTCGGGATGTCTTATTACAATGTACAAATTAGGAAGTAGCTATCATAAACAACAGTTCTCTGAACAGGAAAAGCGTTCCTTCGTCGTGCACGTTTCAGATATGTAAATTTCATCGTCACATCTGACGTGATGTTAACCTAACCCCCGTGAACGAAAGAAACATGGGCGAAGTTGAAATAAAAATTCATTACCCCCGGGTACTATACATTCGTTATTTCTCCATCAGCTTGTCAAAATATTATTCTCTATCGTTTTTCAACGCACACGAGAGAAGTTGCTTTACGTTCGAGACCGTATACAAGTAACAAATAACTGTAACATTTTTTTTTACTCTGGTATTGGTGCTCTATTAATTCTACGTTATATCTATATTTGCTTAATTACACAATCACCTTATCTGTTCGCTCGTAAATCGTATATTTATATATTTCGTGATGATAGAGTAGAAAATGATGAATTGTTATCTACATTTGCAAATTCTAATGCGGAAATACGAGCTTATAACGAATACTTGGTAAATCGATACAGTGGTATATTTTATAACGATGGTTGCAAGTTGGAAGTATTCCGTTAAATTGGAATCTCGGTTCATAAATTTCACGAATTCTAGCTTGTAACTTGGGCGTCCTGAAATTTTTACTTTTCAGACTCTTCACGTCTCTCCGCTTTCTCAACGAGTACCAACGACATACTGTTGGTACCAATCGCGGTTAATTTCATTGCCACCTTCTTCCTTCGAAAGAGCAGCACAGTAGTGACGTATACAAGCAGAACTTGACTCGTATCGTACTAATTGTTGCAATCACTTGAATCCTTCTTTCGTTGACGCATACGCTTGACCGTATTATAAACTTCTTAATCAACATATCAACGATTCGCTTATTCATTTTCTTTCAAACACCATTGTTCAACGCTCGGTTATGCTTAGTCTTATACAGTACTCTATTTCAATAAATAGCACATATCAAAATCGAAAGGCGCAAATCGACAGTGTTCGGCAAAAACGTAAATGCACTGTAAATTCTTAGGTTTAAAGTTCACATTTCTCTCTTAGAAAGCATGATTGATTTGCCGCGTTATGCGATGTGCATGTATGAGTTCTTCATCTTTCTTTTCTTTTCTTTTTTTTTTTTGTTTCCTTTTAGACGACCCTTTAGGGTATCGCGACAACTGCATGTGTATCATTCTATTACATGTATTTATAAAATACCTATATATACATATACGTACACGTATGTAATGCAGATAACATAACAGATAATACCTGCCCGAGCTGCCTCTATTCCATCGCACACATAAACGTTTGGTGCTGTGTTTAACTTAAAGTGTACTCGACTTATAGGGAATTTCAAATTTCTCCCTACAGACAATGGGTAAAACTGATAAACGTTCGTTCGATACAAATTAAGAGTGATGAGAAAGAAACACGGTTACCCGAACAAGGAGTCACTATGAAATACGTAATACTGCTAGAATTTGTATCTTTGTCCAGCTGTGTTCGATGAACCTTCAATATCGTTAACCTTGTTACGATCGTGATATTGAAAATATCATCGGAAACTTCATAACGCGTACATATGTCAGCTCTCACATTGCATACATGTTTTGTTAAATGTCAATAATTTCGTAAGATTACTGTCGATATAATGACACATACTAATTCATTTCTTTCTGCGAAAATAATGGAACAAAAACAATAATCGAAAGTACTGAAAAAAAGAACTTCGAACTATCAACGAAAGGTCCATACCAACTTGGCGTATATTTTAATTTGTACAATTATTTTTGAACGTTTCGTTAAAATATACATATCAACAAAGGCTAAATAGTCTTAATATTTTTCAGTCGTTTTAACTGCCTTGGAAAAAAAAAAAAAAAGGAAATAAATTGCTGCTATTACTAACGTAACGCGTAAAAATAAATATTTCGTGTAAACGAACACTTAAATATCTTAATCTTATGCTATGAGGTGTACAGGAAGGACAACAAAAGTTGATTTCCTCTAAAACTAAATCAAATCTGTTTCGTCTGTTTTTGGAAGAATTACAGGAAAACATTTTTTCTTTCCTAACCTTTAAAATGCACTTTTTCTTTAAATTTATATATCTCGTAACTTGAAAATAATCGCGCTTGTGAAATGAAAATTGATCAGAGGTAGCATTTGCACGTTTCGTATGATAAAAAAAACACATCTGGTAGTTTCATTAAAAAATAAAGGAAGACTTTTGGATGAATATACGTACCCGTATACGTACGAATACGAAAATAATAAATTTCGTGTAATAGAAAAATTGATGATTTAGTTATTAGATTACAATTACACCGCGATAAATGCACGTACACAAATTGGATCATTTTGCATAATTTTACGGTTCCTTAAACCGATGAGAAGTATTATTTTATCTCGAAAAATATGTTAAAAATCGTTAAAAATATTCTTATTCGTAACAATCGACCAAGTGTGCCCAAGCATGCGATTTTTTTTTTTTTAAATATTTGTAGATTCCGATAATCAAGATTGATTTTACTCGAATTGTTTGTGGTTTCATTCATATACGTTTCTGTGCGTGTATGTAATCACAAGTTATATTACTTACAACAATTTTTTGGCCAAGATTTATTGCAGAATACGTGGAAGTATTAAGTTAGAAACATTACTTTCTCGTAATGTTTTACCAAAAAATACTAGTAAACATTACGATAATATAAACCATTTGATTAAAGCAAATATCACTTTCGATAATAGTAAGAAAAAAAAAAAAATAAATGAAAGCGAACAATAAATTACTAACGTCTAATATATATATATAGATATGTATGAGTGTATGTGTACGTGTTCGTGTGTATGTACATACTACATATAAAAAATATACTAAACATAATAAATATTAACTAACTCAAAGCTGCAATGTTTTACGCGAAAACGAAAATAAGAATCAATGATATATTACTCGACTAATGAGAGGCAGTGTTCTTGACTTATTATCGTATTAATTCGTCATACTTCGCAGCTGATTGTAGCTGGAATTTTTGTTCCGAGTTTTGTAAACAAAGTGGCGTTAAATTGCGTTAAGTACACATGTACTGTATGCTGTTAAAAAAAGCATAAATAATTTTTATAACTAGCCAAATACGATAATAAAACGGTTAATAGGGGCACGGTGAAAATTACCGCGCAGCTTACAGGCATTAGTAAATCGAATAAGTTAATATTAAAAAAGTATGTCTTGCCATTATGTTTAGAATCAGACAGTAATAGTAAATGCGGCATTGGTATCAATTGATTTCTTTTCACAGATAAGTTAACGCAGCATCGATGCTACCATTGTACCGGTATCAAAAGTTGATTGGTAAATTTAAAAAATAATGTAAATATACTATATAAAAAATATTTGTAGTTGTATAATACACATAAAACATAATACTATGGTAAACTTAAAATAGCAATGGTCCCGAAATTGTTGATATGAGAGATTGGAAAAACTGGTAACCAATGAGTGAATTAATCAAATCTCAGTCAAGTTGCAAACCCTTTTTCGTCAAATATCCAAATGATGGATCGATTAGATGTTTTGTACATCCTATATCGAAGTAATGGTTATGTCCGATACATGCTGGTGTAACAAGTAGACTACATATAAAAACCATTCACTCTTTATACGTGTGTACGTCATTTTTTTTCATGAATGTATCAAAACGTGAGGACAGAAAATGAAGAAATTAATCACCTAGAGAACAACGTCGGGCAGGGAGCAATGCCACTAGGCTAATTGCGTCCCACTTCGTCCACCATGATGACCCATTCCAATCATTGAACCACCGCTACCGATATCGTCGCGTACGATCTTCCTTTCTTTGTAATAAATCTCCTCGCTCTCCTTATCGCATAACAACAACACGGCCCCGCCGAACAAGAATATAGCTGCACCCCATCCAACTCCATACGCCCACCCGAACTCCCATACTGTCCGATTTCCTGTAAAATAGTCACAATATTCGTATACGTGAAATAAAACGTGTCTAACAGTTTTATAGATTTATTACTCACCAAGATTGAGTTCTGCTGCAAAACACACTGGATATATCACTAATGCTATCAAGAGTGATATCACTGAAACACAACAAAATAAATCTATAGTATAGGAGGAGATGTCTACATTAATACGCGTACATTGTCTCGAATTGGCATACGTACGTGCAAAGCCCATGCAGAAGACTGCGAATCTATAATACTTGTGCTTGTCACGATTATCTTGTGACCTCAAGCCAAGGCCTGTGAGAACTGTTGCAGCAATGTCCGTTATTAAACATACTATGCACAATACAGCAGCTGCTTTTATGTAAGCTGTAAGGAAAATAAAATAAATATAAAAATTTAATTACGATAATAAACTTTTCGTCGATTAGTTACGCGCGTATTTTTTAAAGCAACTGGTCATCCTCAGAAATGTAAAATATACTGTACGACCATATACTATACTTTTTATGTATATACACAAATAATAAAAAAAAAAGATATACAGGGTATCCTGGATCGTAACAGCCAACTTTTGTTTGGAGCTTTAATTAACTGATAATTAAACGTAATTTAAATAAATTTATTAAGAATGAAGGCTTGTTGTACCAGTGTCTCTGGCTTGATAACATCCTGCTGGATCTGGCATGTTAAATGGCAAAGGTGTGGGTGCACCTTCTTCGATACAGTGGGCAAACAGACCTTGTCTCCATCCCAGTGCCATTAACCAATCGGTAGATGCCAAACCCATTATCATCAATAGTATAACTATTATCCCACATATGAATGCTATCACCTGTAACCAACAGAAAAAAAAATATTTATACCATGACGGTAAAAGGAAACTACTAAATATATCCATCAACACCGATAATATTGTAGCCACAAAGATTTGGAAACATGTGATAGTAAAATTCTTGCTCCTTAAAAGTGTGAATGCAGAATATAGATAAAGCATCACTGTTGAATATCATATTATGCATCATAAATGTTATTATTACATTTTATATTAATAGTCAACAATGATTACAACGATGTTATCGAGAGTACCGAAATAAGAACAATATAAATAAATCGCCACAACAAATTCACGAAGGAACTCAAGTGTACCTGTGCGATTTCAGTATCGCCCATGTGATCATCCGCGACTGTATACATGATCATCGTAGATCTATAGTGTACTTTCGAGACAGCCCTTGACGGACAGAATTGAGGAACCTAGTATTTAATTAAAATCGTTTTGAACTTTTTTTTTTTCACACTTTCTTCGGCCCCCTCGGGTACCAATTACGGGACATCGTACACTGTTCCGCGGAACACCCTCGGCAGACGACAGGGAAGCATTTAGAGATCGTTCGAAGACGCGAACACCTTCGCGAACACCTCGAAGGTAAACACGATTCAAGAACCCGGTTGCATTTCTCGCGAGTACTCGTGGAACAACTTTATAATCACGTCCCGCCACGGGCCACGCGCGCGTTACATGATTGCTGGTGAAATTCCCTCTCGGCGTACGGCGAAAAGTAACGAAAGATTGCTCGTTCGGCGAGGTCAACCAGGGACAGAGTCTCTGTCCGTGGTTGGGGGAGTAATTGGGTTCCAGGGAGGCTGCGCCCATTAAAGGTCGTGGCGCAGTGCGCGTACGCGGTAGAGGGTGCTTTTTAGTACAGACGGAACTTGAGACGTACGCGTTCCATTTATAAAAATATTTCTTAACGCGTAAAATCCTCCGTCGCGGACCACGTTACATTCGTAACAGTCTTATTACATGCAACGCAGCTTTTCAATTATCTGGAAATTATATTCGATGGGCCAACTGGAATATTCTTAATACAATATCTCACACAACGTAACCATGGTCGTTGATTTAGATTTCATTTGCTTATAGAGATAGAAAATATCGATGTCGATGTTTTATTTTTTATTTATTTTAATAATGTTAGGAACACAAAAGTAACGATAGTCACGATCGTAACTTAAACTCGCAATTTCAGTTTCTCGATCAAATTTCATCGTGAATTTCGATGTCACAACTTTTATTGATATTAAATATAAATTACAATAAAGTTAATGGTTGAAACTTACCTTCAATGGCCTGGTAATAGTGATTGTTTCAATGGTGGTTGTTTGTGGCATTGTTGTTTAGCTGTAATAAAAACATAATGACAAAATAAGGAAAAATGATGGTACCGATAAAACAAATATATTGCTAATCATAACTGAACAGAAAAGCGATTGCATAGAAAGGATAAAAATATACAAGAATCTTGCGAATTGATATTTCTGTTAAATTGGATGTTGAAATAAAAGGTCATCAAGATGACTCATAGATCCTGCTGATTATGTTTATTCTACATATTTTACATGGGTTATAGAAATTTGATCTCTTCTGGAAATTAAATAACATTCGTGTATTAAATTATTGTATGAAATTACATTATAATTGCGATATTAATAGTCGATGGTAAATAGATATTGTTAACAAATTATATGAAGTACTTGTTACATTATCTCCTACAGTAAATAAATGTTCCACCATTGAATTCAGAGCTACACCTGAATCATTAGTAATTCGTGTAACATTCAAGGAAGGTTAACGAATTACGATATAAAAATGTTATTTTAGGCGTTAACGAACGAGAAGATTAGTCACGCTCAAAGCAACTCGTGTCTCGAATTATATGAAATAGATTCTGATCGTTCTCTGTACGAAAGTAGGGTGACGAATGGAAACACAGTTCTCATCTTAACAATTACATTGAACGAAACAGTACACTTACAACAATGGATATACGTATTCACTTTAGAACACTATCAATCTGCATACGCATCAAGGCATTAAATAGATGAACGTAACTTCAGAATTTGACAGCTAGTAAATAGATCGCGCGAGAACGCGAAGCGAGCACGGAATATACAAACACCACCAGCGCGATTCAATTTTCGAGGGTTATGTCACCGAAAATGTCAACAACAGGTTTCAATAATATGCTCCCTATATGCTCGGTTACTGCTGACACCCACACAACGAGGAAATGCAGAATGCCTCAATGAATAATCACTCGAAAAGCATCCAAAGAACGAACGTTCTTATTGGCTCTCGTCGCGACAAGATTTCTAACCTCGGCTACGATTGGTATTTCACGCGTTTACCTCAACGACGAATAAAACTCGGTGAATGACGTGCTCTCGAACATGTGTGGCCAATAGAAAAACTGATCTTAATATTACAATTTCCAAACTACCAATAGAGCAGCGACGTTCTACTTTTCCATTAACAACGCAAGCATTGTTCTCTGCGTTATCGTATGCGAGCATGACACGGGGGTTAACAAGTTACAATTTTCTGTTAAGAATTTGTTGTGGATGATTAAGGTTGAACAGTAATTTTTCTGCGATTAAATATGGACAGAGTCACAAAGTACAGAATCATCAAGTTTTGAAATCGTTGCACACAGATCGATAGGGCAAATTTTCTGATTACATACAATGTATTGTTTCACTAATAATGTCTACTCCTTTGAAGCAAACATTTTTGTATGTAGAATAACATGTTTTAATGAAGATAAAGCTACAGAAAGTAAAATTGTGTCCCTATTTATTTGCATTACAGTTTCAGTTTTTCTTTATAGGGCACCTACAGCCCTTTGACACCAATACTTGCATCACTTTCTTTGACTCTTCAGAATAACACAGAGTTTCAAACTTTATATCGGTAGAACATGATATTCAAAGAGGTGGCACAGGTTTTGGCGGTTTCCTGGAAATGACGTAATTTCCAAGAATTACAATTAATTTGCATATTCGGGATTCCGGTGAAATTTTCGCCGATTTTCGAGCTTTTGTATCAAGACTTTTGTATCACCATCGATAATAATTTAATTTGATATTACTACTACAAATAAATAATTAGTATATGTACCATTGTATTTACAACTTAACAGTAACCACGAAGAGGGGGTAATACATTCGGGAACCATGATTTATGCTGTGAGAGAGGAAACTCACCAACTCCCATCCAGTGATGTTAGATTGAGCACCGGGTGCACTACTCACACTATGCCAGATCACGCGTATGTGAGCTCGTGGAGTTTCGGAGAGTCGACAAAGGCAAACTGACACACGCCCCCTTTCTCGATTCTCCGAAGCTGCCCGAAGTAATTTCGGACCGTCTCGTGAGAGTCGAGAGAGGAAGCTTCACATTTGCCTTCTTTTTCTTACGGAAATACACGTTTTAAGACCTCCTGATCATAATCGAATTATTGAAACAAAATAAATTCATTTTTATTATTCCTATATATGAGCGTAGATATGTATATCATTTCAGATATCACTTCTGACACATCTGGCAACTTATAACCATTACTGCTGGCTACTGCCAGCCTCTCGCAGCCTCTGCTGGCTTCTGCTGGGCCTCTGCTAACCTCTGCCAACATGTGCGGGCTTCTGCCTGTCTCTGCTGGCCTCTGCTGACCACTGCTGACCACTGCTAACCCTTGTTAACAACTTCTGCCATGATATATATGTATTAAAACATTGTATAATGTAAATCTATGGCAATAAATGATATAATTACAAATAATTCTATGTGTTCTCATCATTTTTTACCTTCCTTTCCCTCTCCAAATCATTACATTAGTTATAAGACTCCCTGGCACTCCTTGGTTTCCTTGAACCCACTAGGGAGTCTTGAAACTCGGAAGTTTGCTAAAAATTCAGGGGTTCCAAGAATTCTCGGCGTTTCCAAGAAATTCCAGGGCTTCCCAGTTGTTTCAGGACTTTCCAGCTGTTTCAGGGCTTTCCAGCTGCCAGGATTTTTTCGTTGTTTCAGGCCTTTTTCGGTGTTTCAGGCTTTCCCAACTGCCAGGAATTTTTCGTTGTTTCAGGCCTTTTTCGGCGTTTCAGGCTTTCCCAGCTGTTTCAGGACTTTCCAGCTGTTTCAGGACTTTCAATTGTTTCAGGACTTTCAAAAATTTAAACGGGACCCCGCTGAAATCTTCTCGAGGAACTTAGAAATTTTTCGGGCGAGAATTTTTAAGAGAACTTGAGAATTTCAAAGTTAATTTTTCGTTTTAGACTTTGTTATGAGGAGGACATGATAATGGAAGAGGTGGCAGGTATCTTATAACTATGGGAATGCTTTGGAGAGGTAAAGGAAGGTAAAAATGACGAGAAGACATAGAATTCTTTGAAATTATAACATTTATTGCGATAGATTTACATTATACAGAGTTTTAATACATATATATCAGGGCAGAAGTTAGAAACAAAGGTCAGCAGTGGTCAGCAAGGGCCAGAGGGGTCAGAGGGGCCAGCAAGGGGCAGTAGAGACCAGCAGGGGCAAGCAGTAACAAGTAGTAATCGTTGTACGTTGTCGGAAGCATAAGGGGTGGTCAGCAGTGGTCAGTAGGAGTCAGCAGGGGACAGCAGGGGACATCAGAGGGATGCAGAGGCATGCAGCGACCAGCAGGGGCAAGCAGTAACACGTAGTAATCGTTATACGTTGTCAGAACCATCAGGGGTGGTCAGCAGTGGTCAGCAGAGGCCAGTGGAGACCAGCGGAGACCAGCAGGGATCAGCAGTGGTCAGCAGAGGGATGCAGAGGCATGCAGAGACCAGCAGGGGCAAGCAGTAACACGTAGTAATCGTTACACGTTGTCAGAAATATAAGCGATGGTCAGCAGAGGCCAGCAGAAGCCAGGAAAGACATGAAAGAAAATATATTTTTCATTATGGTGCTTTGCTTATGTGCGCCTACATAGGTTGGAAAGTAAAAATGCCAGGGAAGCCGAGATTCCAAATCGTATGCCGTTGATGCGAGGATCGGATGTTGGTTGTTCAAGAGCGAGAAGGCAAATGCGAGCCTTCCTCTCTCGACTCCCACGAGGCGGTCCGAAATTACTTCGGGCAGCTTCGGAGAATCGAGAGAGAGGGCATGCGTCAGTTTGTCTTTGTCGACTTTCCGTAACTCCACGAGCTCACGTACGCGTGATCTGGCATGGGTGAGTAGGGCACCGTCGGTGCTTTTCTGGCACCTCTGCTTGCCCATCCAAGATTCCACCTCTTTCATGGTTGGTACTACATCTAGTGACTTTCCCCTCTCGTGGCATGAATTATTGTTTATAGATATAAAGAGACAAACAAAATTCATACATGAATGACGAGCTAAAAAAAAGGTTAGAAAACACTCTGGCTGCCAGAGTCTGGCATTCAGATAACACTACCATTCTCATTGGTGTTTTCGCACCTGCTTCTGCCTGTATTTGCTCGCATCATTCGCAAAACACATTAACGAGGAATTACAACTTAGCAGTAGTTTAGCAAAATAGCTTTCTTTTTGGATGATTTTTAAAAAGCCATTTCACGTACCAAACGTAACCAAATAATCATAACAATTTCCGTTCGTTCACCGATCGACCGAAAAGTTGTTTAAAAACATGCGATGATGGTAACGTGTTTATCTCTCCGCAAATATGACGTATAATTTAATTGTGTTTTAAACTTCGATGGCGATCGAAGTCGTTTTCAATTTATAACAGTACGAGTCCGTGAATTTCTCGTAACTTTTACGATCTAAAAATGGTTGAAAAGAAACACACGACCGAAGAACTGCTCGAAATACTTAAGGATTATCACATAAAAAGCGACGAAGAAAGTCTTTTTGGTAGCGATGATGATCTGAATTCTGGTAGTGAGAATGAATTGCAGTCTTCCGACGATAACACCGCCTCGTCGGAAGAAGAAGAACCAGTCCACTCGGAATACTTGAAAAAATGTTTGTTACCAAACGCGAACGAGTCCGAAGCACAATGGACACAGAATGTCGTGAAACGAGAAAAAGTATCATTTACAGGCAAATCTGGTATTCAGATACAACTACCACCGAATATCACGCCGATAGCATTGTTCGAGCACTTGTTCGATCGCGATGTAATTATGCTAATGGTCTTGGAAACGAACAAATACGCGCAACAATATATTAATAAGCATCATCTGTCACAACATGCCAGAATGAAGACATGGAAAGAAGTAACAGAAAACGAAATGAAAAAATTCATTGGAATTATATTATTAACCGGGCTTATTAAACTTCCCAAGATAGAGGATTATTGGAAAAAGGATCCACTGTTCTTCCATCCACTTTTCCATCATATTCAAATGTCATACAATCGATTTTCGTTGATCCTAAAAAACTGGCAGTTCTGCGATAACAAGGAAGCAACATCTGGAAATAAATTATACAAAGTCTCCAAAATTATGGAAATGCTCTTGTCGAATATTCAAAAGTTGTATATTCCCGGTGAAGAAGTATCCATCGACGAAAGCATAATTTCCCATAGTACTCAACTCACCTTACACCAGTTTAATTCTGTCAAATGCCACAGATGTGGAATTAAGATATACAAATTGTGCGACATGAGTGGTTACGTTTGGAATATGTGTGTTTATAGTAGTCTAAGTAAAAATAAAAGGCCAGATTTGAACTACTCCGGAACAGTTGTTGTTGATTTGGGGGAACCGCTTCTTAATTGTGGCAGATTATTTGTAACGGACAACCGTTATAGTAGCATAGAGTTAGCGAGTTACTTGAAAGCAAGAAACACAGAGTTCTGTGGCATTCTAAAAAGCGACAAACGAAATTTCCCAGAAAGTTTAAAAACGATAAAGCTGAAACGAGGCGAAATGAAATCGATGTCAAATTCGGAAGGAATTCGCATTTTTAAATATCAAGACAAAAAAGAAATCTTTATGATATCGACGTTTCATGGAAATAAAATGAAAACAATGACGAAGTCGAAACAATCGGGAGAAACGGTAACGAAGCCGAGCGTTATCGTAGATTGTAACAGACTAAAAAGTAGCATTCGTTTGTCAAATCAAATGATTAAATATTATTCGCTGGCAAGGAAAAGTATCAAGTGGTACAGGAAAATATTATTCCAGGTACTTAGCATAGGAGTACTCAATAGTTGGATTATCTACAATAAGATATCAAAATCATCTACACTTGTAGATTTCACGAAAGAGATTTCGGCTTCGTTACTTGGGAATTTCAGTACATCGGACAGACAGTACTTAAATCAACGCGTCGGAGGTGTCCACGAATTAACGAATATACCGAGGAAAGAGTCTGGAAAGATTGTACGGAAAAGATGCGTTTCCTGTTACGCTAACATAGCAAATTCACAGAACATTGAAATAGCTAGAAAAAGAGCCAAGAAAGTAAGCACGGAATGTTTACAATGTAGTAAAGCTTATTGTCTCTCTTGTTTTAACTCTAAACATAAATCGTCGAGTTAAAAATGTTTACTTTCCGTGGACACGATCCGAGATGCTCCGTCACGCTTTACGTTTTTATAATTTTGTTCTTTTTAACATCGGTAACGCGAATAACAAATATTATTTTTAATGACATGTATTATAGTTCAGAACAGAAAACGAAATATATGTTTTACTTAAATTACTCTAACTTTATATTATAATGTTAATATAGCTTAACTTACCATCAGTATTAATATCATAAGTTAAATATTGTACCATAAACATTCGTAGCATAAGTTGTAAGTTGAATGTTACAAATTTAAATATAAATATTAATTTATTACGTGTTATTTTTCTGGTGAATTTATCAAAATTCCTACCCTGTTTGAACTACTGTTTTGAAAACGTATTAATGCAACACGTCGTGGCACAGACCATGTTGTACCAAGATGGCTGTGAATTACTCGTAAATTATTCGCTGTATAAGAAAATGGTTAAGAATTACACAGCGTTGTGAAAAACCGATTTAATATCAAAAGTTACTAATTTCTAACAACGTATTTCCTTCATAGTCGGTTGATGGTAAAGTAAATTGCGAAGTTACTAGATTGCGAAGTTACTAGATTGATTTTCTAACCTCTTTCGATTGCTATACGTGCCGTAACATAGAAATCACTTCTAAGCAACGAATTTGGTATAAATAAAATTTGAAATTATGTTCTTCACGAATATATTACTTAAGAAAGTTAAAAGCAAGTGAGTATATGCAAGCTAGCGCATAATTTTGTTTTAAAACGTAAATATAGGTTAGTTTTGTATATGTACTACATTATCGAATAATTGAACTGTAGATTCGATAAATAAATATTTTATCGTTTGTTTATAGAGGCGTTTTAGTGGCGGTTGAAAGCGTGGCATCCGGACATAGATATGTGGTGCCTAGAGAGAGAACAGCCGACAAACTGGAAATAGTAAAATTTGATCCCTATGGTAAACCACTAATATATTTTTAATATATAATCATAAATGACATGTTATAACATATTGCCATTCCAACATATTTCTTCTTTGTTTAGAATTTCAAAAGAATAAGAGAATATTATAAAATTGAAACATTTGTACTATGTATAAATTTATGACAAAATTCACTTATTAAATGAATTATGTATTTTCAGTTCAAGCTATGGTGTTGTATAAAGAAAAGAAGAAACTCACTAGTATCTAAGTACTGCTTCACCCAGTATGTTCCATTATGATAAATTGTTATAAATAAGATTGTAAATGTTCAGTAATAAAACAATGCAATCTAATGTTCTCAATAACATTTACAAAGGCAACAATACTGGCTTCCTGTTTCAACAGTTACAACAGGTTAGCCTCTGGGCTGCTGTTGAAATTGTGCAAAATTTAAAATAGCATTTACTGTTAACACCCGATTTATATAGTAATGAAATAATTAAATAAATCAAATTTGTACAATCTAATGCGAATGTATAGAGATTGATTAAAAAATTGTCGTCCGTGGTGATCAAAAGTAAAGTGGGCTACGTTCGGTATCTCGTATCTGTAGATACGAGGCAAAGGGATCGATTGTCGTGCGTGAAACAATGAGATATCGTCGTAAATGGTTTTGAATACAGCGTACCTGATATCATCGTCTTGCACGGGTCGTGCGTTTAGTTGTATGTATCGAAAGGAACGGGTAGGGACCGAGAAAGAGAAACGGAGGACCTCGAAATCGAGATTGGGGTAGGTTCCCTTTGATCTTTAACAAGGAACGCAAAGTTGTATTATTTCCACCTGGATTTCAAACGGTTTGAAATCCACGAGGCGTGAAACGCGACTCTATTCTCTTTCTCTTACCCTCCTTCGCCAAACCCCTTCCACGCGCCGTTCTCCTTCGCCCTGCTCCTTCTCGCTCTTTACTCCTTTTCGGCGGTGCAGGGGCAACTCGGGCGTCGTTTACTGATGTTGCCAATTCAATTTCTTCTGGCGGACTATTGTCGTGGGCAGAAGAGGGTTGCAGTCGCGGAAGGGGCCCCCTCCCACCCCGAGCGAATCGTTTCTATCTTTCGCGATTGTGCGTGTGACAGCTCCTGACATCTAGATTTCTCGCCGTTTCTTTCTTTCTCTTAAGGAAAACTTTCTCCTGCCCTCGCGATGCGATAAATGGCCCCGATGCCCTTTGTTTAATTTACGGAGGATCAAACGTCGGACAAATTCTCGTTTTCCCGTATTGTTTCCAATATCGACCTTTGGTAAAAATGTTATTTTCGAGAATTTAATATTTGTCTCTAGAAAGTGTTGCGTCAATTGATTCTGTTTTACTCTCTCTTTACAATGAGTTACAAAATTCCAAGGATGATCTCGAGTCGAAAAGTCGAACCGTGAACGAAGACTCGTTTAAGACTGAAATTGTTCATTTTCGTTACCGAAAGCTCTCGATTATTCGCGAGCACGTAAACGGTTAGCCGGCAATTAAAGTGCATCGACCATTCCTCTGGTAAAAGTCAGATTCAGCTGGGACGAAGAATTAATTCTCCGCGGGGTTGAGGACGGAGAATCGCGGAAACAAATGGACCTCCGACGGAGCAGATTTTTTTTCGTCGTGGCGCAACGAGTTTCGAAGCTGCGTGCAACAGCGAAATTGTTAAAACGTTCGTTGTTTATGGTTGACTCGACGGAGCAACCGGTAAAGGAGGAAACAGTACGCAACGAAGAGCGAGACGGAGCGATGTGGTGGCCCGTTAGAGGGAGGAAGGAAGGACGATAGAAGGAAAACAGTAAACGAAAGGAAAGCGCGAGGAAGAGGGAAAGAGGCTCGTCTGGGCCTTGGCGCGTTTCAGTTGCCTCGCGTTCGAGGGCGTTTTTCGCCCGTGAGTTGTTCTTTGCTTATTACAGTGTGTGCACTGGGCTCGAGCTCGCTAAAGTGGTTTTGCTGCTAATTAACTGCGTTATTTTTACAACTCTCTTGCTCCCATCCACCTCCCACGTCTCCTCACGGCCTCCCTCTTCCCTTTTTCCTCTTTCCATACCCCTCGGCTGTTCTCTCACATTTGCAATGGGGTTCAATAATTCTGCGGCCGCAACGCCCTCTCACTCCCTCCTTTTCTCACCGCGTTTGTTATACACGCGTTTTATGCGTGCGTTTCTGAAACGTCTATTTTTACTGCATGCACCAGAAAGCAGAGATGGGATCAAGTTCGATACTCATCCCGATCGATTCGACATCCAAACTAGGGATTGCAAACTGTCGTAATACCAATTTCGGTTCTTAAAACAATTACGAAGTTGCTGAGATAATAGTTCTCGTGTAACGTCGATTTAGGTTATGTTTCCATTTCAGTGCTATATCGGTCACGATTTGATGAATAACGTTCCGTAAAAAGTGTCCAGGTCATAATAAATCATATTCTGTTCTAAAATCTATTTATGAACAACGGTATTATTTTTCGAAGCACTGTTCGCGGTACCGTATATTTACGTAGATGCATTGAACGTTCTTAATTTTTATTATTTTACGCTCCGCGTACGTTTGCGGTTTATACAAGCGTAAACATAAAATAAAACGCGCACGAGGATATTTCTAAAAAATGGTTCTCCTCCCAGGCATTTTTTTTTTTCCCTCTGCTTGAAATTGCTGCCTTTATACTTGCACGGGGGTTAATTTTACATGCATATATTCTCTGTGTATTTTTTGAGAGCGCGTTTGTGGAAAATTTAACGAGGCGAATATCGGTAGGTTTTTAAGTACGCCCGTTTGAAATGGTTTTTTAAGCGCGCAGCTACTCAACCGTTATTCCATCATGTTATCGAAACGCGAGTATCATTAACTATTTAAAAGAAGGCGGTGGGCGAGCGGGAGGGGAGCGTAATTACTCTCTTCAATATTTCTGGAATAGGCAACTTTATATTTGAACGCCACCTTTTAACGTTTCTATGCTTTTTCCGCGAATAAAGTAAGTCCAATCGCGCCACCGTTCAGCGAAACGATAAAAAAAAAAAAAAAATGCTTCAACAAAACAACAATGATTTTCACGTCGGAAATTCTGCTGGCGAAAGTAGGAATTACCAACAGCGTTAAAATGAAAACTCACCCGAAATCGTTCTATGTAATCGCAGACAAAAGAGAAAAACAAAACGTACCACTTCCATCAAAATAATGGAACTCCTTCTGTAAAATAAATAATAAACATACGTGGTGGTAATCTGTATTATTAAAACGGATACCACGCGAGGCGAGAGATATATGCACAGACGAGGTACACGAGTAGATCTTTCGTCCAATGTATTTTTTCAGCTTATTTTTCTGGGGCTCTAGAGCCCCATGGTGATTGAGGAGGTGGGTCGATGTGGACAATTGTAAAGCAACCATAATCGAACATTTACAGCCCAAAGTTTCGAGTTGTTATCTTGGTAAAAGCTGAAACAATCAGCTATACCCAAAATCTGTAAATACTTCTGTTGATCCATAATTCCATCAATAATATAAAGGTTTTCTAGTCCTAGAACCCCATACTATTATCGACCCACCTCCATGCTTAACGAAATATTGATTTTTCATACTCTAACACTTTTTTACGTAAAATGTTCCGAAGAACTGAGACAAATAAGAACATGTTTCATTCTAACCTCTTTTCGTGTAATGACGAGTCTGACTCGCCATACATCAGTTCTTTATACCGATGTGTGCAATAAGCACTGTATTTTTACACGACCTTTTAAGTTTTATATATTCAATTCTGTCTCCAAAATTGTTTAGATGATAATACCAAGTGGAAAGTTAGCAATAGAATAGAATGAAATGAAATAGATATAAGAAGAATACGAACGCCAATAACAGCATGAGTAATGAGAATAAAACAGTCAAGATGGCGCTAGTGGTACAATCTTGAATAAAATACGAAGCTACGAAATAAGAGATTGAATCACATCACAATATGATATAAACATAACCAACTTTTTCGAGTTTTTGAAATCTCAAAATTTTTCCGTCGTTTTTTTGTTAATCCCTCATTCTTTGAGCTTTTTTAAATGCGTTACTGGATACTAGGTTTATTTTACACCTTTTTCATGTTCGTGATCGGAAACGATTGCAATTGATTCTTTTGTTCGTTACGTGTGACGATATTCCGGCCATTAGAATCATGCAAAATTTGATTCGGTGCTTCAAATATGTGAGTTCCTTCAGTCTCGTTGACTTAGCAAGTCAAGTAATAGGAAATGATCTCATTATTACCGAATGCGATGGTAGCTTCGATCGATTGTTCAAATGGAGGCGTTTTCAGAACGGTTTCAAGGAGGCTAAAGCCTGCAGGAAACCAATATTGCTATTTGTTCACAAACCATTATGCCCCGCTTGCCAGACATTGAAACAAAAGTTCTCAAAGTCTGTAAGACTGATGGACCTTAGCGATAGGTAAATATTATGTGAAGTGTTAAAATTACGGTTAACAAACGATTCAAAGTAGGTAACATTAGTAGTTTTCTAAAGCGTCTGCTAGCGATTCGACTAATCCGCGTTGCAGCTTCGTCATGATACAGGCGGAACAGGAGAAGTGCAAACACATGGACGAACAGAAGTTTCTGCCCGATGGAAAATATGTGCCTAGAATTTTGTTCTTTACGCCGGATGGCGATTTCATCGAGGACGCCTATAACAAACACCCGAACGCCGACAAGGAGCACAAATATTTCTACAGTAATCCCTCGCAAATTGCGGAGTCCATGTTATTCGTTCTGAGAGAGTATATTAAAGGGCCACTGTCGGTACTGTTCGAACACGAACGATGGAAATCAGACAATTGGGACACGGATGACGACGTTCTGACTCCCACCGTGTTGTCTTGATTTCGTAGTTCGAATAAATAAACTGCACGCATTTGATAAAAGAAATTAGCGGTTTCGTGATACTTTCATTTTATACAAATAATATTTCGTTATACTTTATACGTTTTATACGAAGGATTTATCAATGAAGAAACTAACAATGGACTCTGTTCAAAAGAGGGCAGACGCAACGTAGGATTGATAAAAAATAAAGATCAAAGGGAGGCAGGCAGAATACCTCGAGCAGCTGCTGTGAAGCCTGTCAGCGAATCGGTTAATTTGGTAACCAATCTGAATGCGAGTTCGGGACAGGCGTAGCCATTTGAACACTGTTCCCAATGTCTCGAGTCTGCGCCCGTACATTAAACACCCTTGCACATCAACCTATCGCCAGCAACCCTGACGGCGCTTGCGTTTGCAACTGTTGCCACATCCGGTAATGGTATCGGATTGGTCGACACTGTCTCACCTAGGGCTCGTAGACCACGCCCATTTCACCCTCTTCAAGTATACTGTTGATACACGTTGCTATATCGAGAAGCCTCCATTTCTTTTCTCGCAACGTTTAGGGCAAACGGGGTACGCGGTGACACTACGTGATTTTATTGACTTTGTCGAGGTCCAAGTTTTGTAATCCTCGTGTATCACACTTTGATCTACAAATTTCGATTAGTTTGTAAATTTATAAATCAGATATAGTTTATGAAAAAGAATAGATTAAATAGAGCTTGGGTTTTAGAACCAGACTAGCCACCGAGCATGATTTTGATCAATTTAAAACGAAATTAAAGTTGATTCTGATTCCAAGAAGTTTGACTAGGGGCGAGGGTAACTCGAATGCGTAACATTCTTGTACGAAATCTGCATATGGGCGGATCTAACTTAGGTGGACGAGGGGTAACAAGGGTGCAAAGTGATGACCAATTGGAGAGTGTGGAAGAATACAAGTAACTATGGCAAAATCTGCCATCCAAGCCACAAAACCGGTACGTTGGGTTTATGAAGGGTGCACGGAGAGTTCCTATAATCCCTCCTATTCGTACCAAATTATAACACTTAACCCCTTCTTCATGGACCCCTCAAATGTACGGACATGTTCTAAAGCAGTCGACAACGAACTTTCCTAAAGATATCTAATAGACTACATTTACAGGTTTCCGTTCATCGTCTTCATCCCCTAAAGTTAAATATTTACCATCAAAATTTTTTCTATTTTATCATTTCTAGGAGTGGAATTCTCGACTAATAAAAGCTACAAACTTTCTTCTAGATCCTGTTCTCGATTCTCGATCTCGTATTCGAGGGATTATCGGGGTTCCCGCGATCGTCGCGTGTTAGCGACACGTGTCGTCTAACGCACGTTACCGATCGACGTACGACGTCGAAAATAGACGGTCCACGCACCGGGCTACCGGGCAGAGAAACGGCGCACAGAGGAGCCCACGCACATGGGTTATGTATGGATCTCGGCGCGTTCTGTGTTTGAAGGGTTGCAGATAATATATAGCCCGTTTCGGCGGAGAGAGCTTTTTAGCTTTGACCGTTTCATCCGGCGTCGGTCGGTCGGTCGGTCGGTCGGGCTGCCTGCGCTATTGCGCTGCCCGTAATATCGACGTACCTATATCTCCGCGTCCGTCACGTTCTTTTTTTTTTATTATTTTTTTTTTTTTTTTTTTTTTTTGTCCCATCCACCTCGGCTCGCTCGCAGCCCTGGGCTCCTGGCTCTCTGCGGGGCTTTAAAAAATGATCCGGGACATTATTTTTACGCGGTCCTCCACCCTCGACGCCCTTTCCATCCTCTCCCCCAACCCCCCCCTTTTCCGACGACCCGTGGATTCGAGTGACCGGTCCGGTTCAGCCTCGTCGTCGTTTCCGCCGGCGCGGCTTGCAATGTGCCGCATCAGCGAATGTGCAAAAATTGAAGGGAGAGGAACGGAAGAAGGGGGGTTGGGGGAAGCAGGGGGCGTCGTTGGTGCGGTAGAAACGGGGGAAAAAAGAGGAAAAATCGGCGACCGTTTCGCGGAAGAGAGAGGGTGGGGGGTGGGGAGGGGGGTTAGAGCGTGGGAGAGAAAGGTGGATCGGTCGGGGAGACGACGGGGACGAAGTGAAAAAGTTGCGGCGAGGTGTGAACGCAGGAGAAAGGAGGGAGACCGACAGATGGAGGGAGACAGAGGAGAAAGATTATATATCTCGTCTCCCACGTCTGTCCGTTCGTACAGTCGTTTCCAGGGTATGGATGGTGGCCCCGTGGATATATCGGTGCCTGGAAGCCATTTTCAATTCAATCTGTTAAAAGCACGTCAAAAAGTCATACGGTATTTCACCGGCGCCGGTACATCGCGACGGAGCCGCTGGTTTCGTACGGTGACGGTGCCACCGGTGAATGGCACGTGTGTATGAGTCCCTCGAAATATGTGCCTCCGCACGGGCTTCGACCCTGTCGCGAACCGACGCTCGTGAACATGGATCCTTCCTACGATCTCTCGGTCTTAACGGCGAATTGCCAGTCTCGATCGATTTCCCGCCTGTAAACTCGAAACTGATCCGCGAAGATCCTGTACTTGGGAAGTTATCGAATCAGGGGACTGGGAATATGCAAATGAAAATCTTTTTATTCGCATAGGTTAGGGTGCCACCATACATACGTATCTTGGAGACGACTCTGATCGTGTAATTAATAATTTCCAAGATGTTATTCGAAATAGAGTATAATGCCCATTTAAGTGGGCATGGTTCTCAGAATTCAACCGTTGCAGCGATAACGACCGGTGTCAAGTTGCGCTCGACACGCTCGACGCTCGCCTCCAAGATTAAGCGGAGATAGCTGCAGGCACTTAAGCGGCCATTACTGTCTTATGTATTTACATTCTAAAAATAATTATTTTGTATGTGTTTGAGCTCGTATTGTTGCCCGACGAGACATGGAATTATGTAACGTGGTGAACGTTGGAGGCAGTAACCGAAAGCTCGCGTGCAATTCGAGCAACGTGATTCCCGTGTCAGCACTCTTGTTCCCATGTTTGCCGGTTGATCGACAAACAGGTCACACAGTGTTCACCCACGCGGGTATCGTCGATCGTCGTACACCCTCCTCGTACCTGCTCTCTCATCGTTCTCCGACCTAGGGATCCGTCGGTCTAATCTCCCTTATCCGATCAGCGCTGATTTGATCAGCTGTTTCCGTGGTGTTGCCGATCCGGCCAATGTTGGCAAACATTGTAACTCGATACAGACGCGATCTTGATCTCGATCTCTGCTCTCCAGTGTAAACAGCCCGGAGGGGAGATCCCGCGTACGCGTTGTTACACGAGGGTACCTGCTACCAGTCGATCAATCGGATACTCGAGGAAACTTTTCGTAGGTCAGGAGGTAAGAATCGTGGGAGAGCCGCGGCCCGTGAAGGAACCGTTTCTTTTGATTTTACGGAACGCTTTGGGAATGTATACATTGTGCCTTTTGCTATTTCGAAAGCGCGTTGTTTGGATTTTATTTCGCACGGATTCAAATTTTTTCGTGCGCGTGGGCGTGGGCGTGCAAAATATGCGCGAAATTTGAATGTCATTTGTGCGAAAGCAGAATGCTTTGTGGTGGTTTGTTAGCGGCGATCAAAGGGGCGTGCGGAATAAAAAAAAATTTGGGTACAGAACGGCGATTTGTACAAAATATAGTTTTGAAAGCTTTACAAATTACTCGATGTAGCTCAACTACAATTTCTATTTCGATTCTTAATAAAAGGATTCTGTTTTTATATTATTTTTTTGTTCTCTTGGTTGTTGTATGTGATGTACGCCGAGTATGCAACGCGTTTTGATTCTTTAGATTTTCAAATATTGTGTACGTTGATTTAGGTTAGGTTAGATTGGGTATAGGTTAGCTAAACTGTTACTTTAATTTAAACGGATAGAAAGTCTTGCTTAGATTATAATCTCCCGAATCGCTTAAACGAGGTTGCGGAGGGGTTGCCCGATACTTTAACAGCAGGTGTGTATTGCCATGGCTATCGGTTTATTGATTTATCCATCGGGGCGCGTACGTTCGCTTTGAGTGGTTGATATGCCAGAGTAAAAAATGGTCCGTGTCGGTGTACGTACACCGATATCGATGAATGCCCCGTTTTCACGCATACTTTCAATGTTGCTCAAATCGTCATTGCGTTTTACAAATGATCGATAAACGCGTCGAAACATACAATTCAGTGAAAAGCTGAACGCTTTTACCCTGTTGACGAGTGAATGACTTTGAATTAGAGAAAAATCGAAACTCAATATACACTGCCTTTTTAAGTGTTGGCTGCAACACGTAGTACTATGGGCTGATTGACACGCGATGACGAAAATCATTGAATTTTATTCGAGATGCCATCGCACGATCAATATCGCTGAAGCAATAATAGTACCCATGTATTGCGAATAAGAGGTTGTAAGAGGTGTAAAAATGTTTGCAATCTTTTTATTAAAAAAAAGATTAGAACAAAGAGTAGACTGATTCTAGTTTATAAACATGTTGTTTTTTATATGATTTTCAGAATAATTTAAGAGATGTCAAGAAAGGGGAAAGAAACCACACCGGAAGGAAAGCAATTCGCATTGAAGTGTTCTAGAATACGATTGAGATTGTGTAAAGCACTGGAAACTTGGTAACATTCCCCTTCGTTTCTCGGTATCAGATGTCATGTAAGGTAATACAGCCGACAATGAGCGCAAATAATCATATTTAAATGCAAAATACCGGTTCCTTCGAACTGCATCTACATTAGTTACTTTCGTTCGCATGGTTAAGTCAAAAGTAATAATACCATTGTACGCACAGTACAGTATACGGCCTGGTATTGTGCGCAACGCGTCGACAGGCAGGAGTAGGTAGGCAAGCAGAGATACATATACAGGATCCAAATCATAGAATGCTTAATACATAGAATGCTTTTATTCCATTCTCATTGCCGGGTAAATAACATCTGTACATTAGATCACTATAAAATCGGTCGCCATTGGTGAACGACAATAGGGCTTCCCCCCATTGAAACCTCATTGTAGAATATGATTCAAGAAAGGCTCGTCGCTATGACGGTGTGTCCGTGTGGTTTACAGCGAGCGAGCTCGATGGATTTGAAAAAGAAAGAAGAAAAAAAAATAGAAGAGAGACGGACGACCACAAGCAACCGTGACCGAGCGAGCGAGCGGCTAAAAAAAAAAAAATAAAATAAAAGCAAAACGAACGAAAGAAAGAAAGAAAGAAGGGACATGTTCTTCTCCGAAGGGGACGAAGAAGGCGTGCATGGTTTAAAAACAGTCCCGGCCGAAACAAAAGGCGGAGCATAGAGAGAAACGTCTGAGCATCGCTTGCATTGTGTTTTATGTTGGAACGGGTTTTAAATAAAAGAGTAATGTGTTTGTCCGTTTTGCCTCCACCAGCACGATAGGAAATACACACGTCCGATACGCGCGTCTGTACGCATAGTTTATCGAGGGTGAGTAGGTAGGTGGGTACGCGGTTAGGTATGTCCCCCTTTCACCCCAGTCAGATATAAACTCTTAACATCTTGGTGGAACAGCGTGCTCGACCAATCGGGTAGGTGCGCGGGCGTGGCCGCGCCAAAGCGCGGCTTTGCGTTTGGCCGAAGCCCCGGGGTGGAACACTGTGGCACAGTGTTTTATTTCGCGCAACTGTGGAGGGGTCGTTAGTTTCTGCCCTATCCCTCCACGCTGAATTCCATCCCCCCCGCCCCTCCCGCCACCGCAGCACTGCCTCTTTCTCCTTTTGTCGCGTCGTCTCGCTCGCGCCGCCGCTCTTCCCGCATTGTTCGTCTCCTTTCACCGGACGCTCGCAGGTTTCTTTTCGTATTCTTTTTCCCTCTCGCAGTCCTTCCCGTTCACTTTTTCCACGTTCTTTCACGTTTTTCCACCGCACTTCGCGTTTTCTCTCTGTCCCTTTCCATACCCTCGCTTCCTAAACCGTCCCGTCGCGATTTCCATCCGTCCCCTCCGCCGCATCGTGCGGTCCCCCCCTCCCCCCGCCTCCTTGCACGTCCGCCTTCGGGCTCCCTCTTTGCTGCCGACACCACCGCCGCCGCCGCCGCCGCCGCTGCCGCTTCTCTGTCTCTCCACGCTACCTGAATCGACTCACCCGGGATGCTGCAATTGTTGACAATGCCGGAGAGCGAGAGAGAGTGCTGCGAGTGGAGTCGGGGCGATTCCGCATTTCGTACCCCGACACCCGTACGAACGGTGGTGCCACTGCTGTTCTTCGTCGGCGAACTTTCGGAAGTGTGGGCGCGTGCGCGCGTCTGCTAGTCGAGCTTTCCCGCTTCGCCGCGCACGTCGCTGCGGTAGCCGCGACCTCTCGCTCCTTCTCCCTCGCTCTACGTGCCGGCTCGAGAGTTTCTACCGAACAGCGTTAAATGTGATATTTCTTCGGTTGAAGTAAGAAGAGCCCCCGGTGTGATCGCGGTCTGTCTGTCGTCCGATCCGTGGCCCTCCATTTTTTTTCTGTCCACCGAGTAACGATCGAATGCCGGGGACTGGCGCCCGCGATACCACCAGCGTGCCCCTTGGTGCACCGGAGAACGAACTGACAAATCGCACGCAGTGGTTAACGAACTAACGACAGTGATCGGTTATTAGCGGGTTGTTAGAATGCGAGCGACGCGGGTCAGTGAATACTGGGCTTTATGCTCCCTCGAAAACGTTTGTTCCCGGTGATCGTTCTATCGTACGTCGTTCGTGCGTTCGACGACGATGCCCGCGTATCGTCCGTGACCGTTGTTTGAATCGTCGTCAATCGTTCAGTGATCGTCCGCGGCACATTTCTCGTTCGTCGTTGTTCCTTCAGCTGGCAAGTTTACGAACGTTCCGTCGTCCGATACGATGTCGTTACCGCGGGGTGTCGGTCTTGGTGTCGACGTGGGCCAATTGATGCAACACCAGCAACAGCAGCAGCAACATCACGTGCTACCAGCCGCGTTCTTCCTTCGTGCCAGTGCCGAGAGATACCAAAGGACACCGAAGTGCGCGAGATGCCGTAATCATGGTGTCGTTTCCGCATTGAAGGGCCACAAACGGTATTGCCGTTGGCGGGACTGCGTGTGTGCAAAATGTACTCTGATCGCCGAGAGGCAACGGGTGATGGCTGCCCAGGTAAGTAAAGTGTCACGTTACGTTTCGTTCTGCCAGAACTCTTTACTACGAGACGCGCTATATTCGTAGCAATTATTACATTTGGTCGTTCGGAAAGTTTGTAGCGAAATTCAGGTAAAACTGGTCACAGTTTATGCATTTGTGTGAACGCAGTAGTAAATTTTGAAACTGTAACATTGTATTTCATTGCTTTTTGCTTCTAAAACTGTATCTATTTTTTTCGGGTGTACTTTGTACTAATCTTTGACAGTGATTCAGACTGATTTTACCTTATTCTTCCTGGGACTCTAATTCAAAGATTATCAGTTGATGTTGATGTTCTATAATATTCAGAATGTTAATGAATTTTATTGAAATTTTCTACAAATGGCGCTTAGAACTATGACATTTTAGGTTATAATGAAGATCTCTGTTTGTGGGAAACGCTACAAACTTTCCGAACAACCCTCGTTTTAGATTTAGTTTAAAATCTGTGAAATAGAATCTCTGTGCGTATCTTGTCGTTTTATTCCGAGGCCGTCGGCCACTCGAATCGACGGATCGCTCGCAAAGCAACATAAACAATGGTGGGGATGATTAGGAAACTTATATCGAGGCGAACATCTGGTCTTTTAACGAGGATTCTGAATTATTTTTTAGTAGATTGAACTTATCATCTTTTGATAAAGATGTTATTAGTTGAACACTGTTAATTCAGAAGTAGAGAGAAGTACTGGTAGTTGCCTGTAGGAAACGCGATGGAAGCATTCTTTTGTAGCGTGTGTCAAGGGTGCAGTTTTCTTTCCCGCGACTTCGTGAAATGAATCAAGGAAGTGTGAACTGATTCAATTAGGATCAACGAGAGGGTCTCTTGAAACATGTGACTTTCTTTCCATATTGTTTCGTTCGTTCGTGTTCCTGAATACTTTTTTATCGTATCTCATATTTTGTTGTCCCATGTAGATTTCCGTCGCTCGCTGTATAAAATAAAGACCCATACTCCATAACCTAGAATTCGAATAGCGATAATGTTAAAATAATGATTTGTAGCGTTCGAGTATTTGTCGAATTTGAGTAGTAAATTATTTAAATAGTTTCAACCCTCTTTCAATGTATCATTCGCATTTTCAATTGCGGATGAAGTTACGAACATTGTTCCTTGATCTTGGGTCGTAACACTATACCCACTCGAGTGCTTTTGAATTACTGGTCCTCTTACCCTCCTATTGGATCATCTTGATATCGGAGGTTTCGTGATTGTACCTGTATCGTATCTCGTAAGATATCTTCGAACGATATATCTCGAAAGCAACCCTTCGAGCTAAGGTCAAATCTGATTTAACCGCGGAACGATTGAGCCACGAGTCCTCCATCTTGTTATTCTTTCCAGTGTTAATGATCTATCACTCCAGTCGTCGAAAAAGTTTAATGAAAAAGTGGTTTAAAGTCTCGTTGTCGCGTATAAATCTAGAGAATCATGGATTTAGTAACGTAGATTAACTTCTCAAAGCATCTGTTCGCATTTCATTTAAAATAGCGGGACAAAAGCGCGAACCAGAAGGAAAACCGTAAACAGGATTTCGAGGTTAAGGGGCCTCTTACCTTCAAAGCTCGTAAAAACTGGGTCTTTTAAAGATTTATTTTAGAAAACTGTGAAGTCGATCAATTTGAAACTTAACACGCGTGTTTTTCGTACTTAAAGAAAAATTACATAAATAAATGTTGAGGACGTTAACGTGTCAAATACAGGTATCCATTTTCATCCAAATACTTTTTTAAAACACTAAGTTTTCAGAATTTACACGTCGTATAAAACTTAATAAAACAAACATGTGCGTTATGTTTGCTTACAATTAGTTGTTGGATACCTATACTTCATTCGTGTTTTCTATAGCTCTTGCGTGCCCATAAGAACATACGACACTCGTATCTGTCTATATGCTTTTGTTTATGATGCTGTTGGGTCTCAAAAAATACATCTGGTATAGTTTCAAGCAAATACTTATGAAAGAAACGCAATCATGTGTCGCAATGGTTGTTCTTTTAAAAAATTATTTCGTCAATAAGACAACACTTGCGAGTATGCCACAAATCGTCCAGTGTCGCCTGTTTATGTTTAGAAGCAATGGCGGCGGTTGCATACTTGGTGATAGCCTCGAGTAATAGAAAGGGAAAAGAATTTCTCAGTTCTGTATGTAGGAACTTTACAAGAATTAATAAAGAAGATTTTGTCTGTTTTCATGAGATACAAAATGGTGGCGCGTTGGTATGTTTCGAAGAGATTGTCGCGTAAATGTTGCGTCGGTGGAATCGTTAAACTTCTCCCATGGTTATTAGGAATTTTAGGTAATGGACGATGATTTGCAGGTGGCGTTGCGGAGGCAGCAGGCCCAAGAGGAGAGCGAGGCGCGCGAGTTGGGCCTGCAATTGCAATACAATACGGGCAGCTGCACCACCGCCCCCGTTCTGCCCAGTGCGGCCAGCGCGACCACGCCAGCTGGTAGCCCGCCCCCGCACCCGGCCCACGTTTCCAGTCCCGGGGGTTTGGGAATTCCGGCGGCGGCGGCAGCCGCAGCCGCGGCCGCGGCCGCACACATCCAGACGCAACTCCAGCATCAGCAGCCAGACTGCGGCCTCCTGCAACGGAAGAGGCTTCCCCAGGACGAGTACCGGCAGCCCAAAATCGAGAAACAGGATCCGATCGTCGGTGGAATCGCAGGTGAGTGGGCGTCAGGACCAAAGGGGAATCCTAGTTAGCATCAACGCGTTAAAAGCTAGCAAACTCGCGATGCACAAGACAGACTAGGATAGAACTGTGGGGTCCGTCGCTTCCCATACTCGCCACCAGAGGGACTGTTCCTCTCGCAAGCGCTCGACCGACCTTCCGTCTGCATATATTCGCTCTTCGACTCTCCCTATCCTTGGGGGTCACAGGACCACCACAGGAACCTCAATGAATTAGAGTTTATTAACCAAGTATGGAACTAAGATGTATCTATCGCGGATATGGAGATCCTACTACTATAAGAACCGGGGTTTTCTGGTGAAAATTAAGATCTACTCCCTCCTTGCTCTTGCAAGCCTAGCTATCTTTCTATGATGCATGCAGCGACGACTGTAGATCGACACAGATTTAAAAGGCTACCTAGATGTTCGAAGAATGTTGGTGCGTCGTCCTGACCACAAACAGGTGGCGGGTTTGCGTCGCGGGGCAACCGTTCACCGGGCAGAAGAACGAGAGCACTCGCGGGCTCCGTTCTTACGGGAGCGAACGGCACGCGTGTGCACTTCACGGAGGGCGAGAACGAGCCAGCGAGGAGAAGTCTAGAAAGGAGCGAAGGGTTGAGCGCCGGAGAGAATTAAAAGCCGCCACTAACGAGTACGACTTCTGCTTTGAGTGGTATAATAAGGGGCCCCCGGGAGTTTGGCCATTATTTACTTAACATTATGGCCTCTGGCCACTTGCCCTATTTAGCCGTGTATGTTCACGCACGTTCCTAATGGGCACTCGTACGCAACTCATGCGTGCCGTACGCATGCGCTTTCTCTCTCTCTTGGTCGCGTGCCACATTTCTGCCCGCGTCGCACGTTTCGCGGAATCTCGAAAAAACAAAATTACGATCTTAGCCCGCCGTCAAGAAATTTGATCGACGAAAGAGTAGAAGGAGACCACCGTTTCACGGTGGACGATAACCTTGTTAGAAGTTTAACCCTTTGTGGCCCGGAGGACGTGTTTAATATCTCGTTCCAGCTGGTATACGAGCTTACGAGAGCAACGAGAAGCTAATTCTCAGTGAATTCTTTCGCATGGTTCGCGTCCCTTTTCATTTTCTTTGCGCTTTACATTCGAACCATACTATTATATTTTTCTTATGTGGAATGATTATACATGATTATAGTGGTTCCTACGCAGTATGAGAAACTCTAGTTAGTGACGTATCGATAGCCTTAGAGTTCTCTGAGTGGGAACCACTAGCAGCTGTTCGTAGATTGTCGTTCTACAGGCGTTAATAACTTTTTAATGAAGCCTCGATCAACAAATTCGTATTCTTGATTTTCGTCTTGTTTCGGCCTCTAAAATCTCCCACCAAATTTTTTATGTCGGATAATTGGACTATATCTACAGAAGAAGTGATAAAAAAGAAGAATATAATTACAGATCTCTGGCTACACATTATATTCGTCGTAATGAATTTTTTTCTCGAAAGTGAGTAGGATTTCGGGGGTACGTGTAATGACCAAAAATGATTGTAATCAACCCTTGCAACTGAAAATAATTTTTTTAGAACGATTTGAAAAATTTTAATTTTGACAAAAAATTTGTCCACATACTCGAATTTTTTTCTCGAAATTGCGTAGGATTTCGGTGGTATGTCTATTGACCAAAAATGATTGTAATTGACCCCCCTAGCTAAAAATAATTTTTTTAGAACGATTTGAAATTTTTGAATTTTGTCGGAAAATTTCCCACCTTCTCGAATTTTTTTCTAGAAACTGGGTAGGATTTCGGGGTTATGTCTATTGACCAAAAATTATTGCAATTGACCCCTGCGACCGAAAATAATTTTTCCAAAATGATTTGAAACTTTGTAATTTTGCCAAAAAATTTGTCCACATCTCGAATTTTTTTCTCGAAAGTGCGTAGGATTTCGGTGATATATCTATTGACCAAAAATGATTGTAATTTACCCCTCTAGCTAAAAATAATTTTTTTAAGACGATTTGAAATTTTTTTTCCCGACGAAAAATTTAGGCACCTTCTGTCATAATTACTCGGATAACTGGATTTTTAACGAAGTCTCAATCATCCATTTGACACCCTGTATACGTATTCAATCTCGTTCATTGGACGAAGATCAACTTCAACTGTGTAGTATAAGATTCAAAATGACCAAAATCTAATCTGATTAAATATGTTTTATTTTGTTCTGAACACGTGCCCGTGAATAAGGGACTTGCATCGGACAGAAATCACTTTTCGCGGGTATTTTTTCAATCCCCCGCCGTCGGAGGTCGAGGAACGCAATAGGAGCGTTCGGTTAGGGGATGGAAAGTTCGATTTCGCTCGGTTTCAATTACACCTACGCTCCTGTTGTTCGCGTTAGCCGAGCAGAAGGCACCTCCCCTTCCCTTCTTACCCCCCTGAAAAGTCGAGGGTCGCGAGTGCGGAAGATGTCTCTCCGTTCGATCTTCGAAACAGAGTGCTTACAGTAGTGTACAGAGGAGGCGCGTCTTCAGTCGAGAAGTTTTAGCCGTAATTGAATTTCTCGGGCCAGTGCCTACCACCGCGGGGGATTCTCGACCGGTTTGTTGGTTGGTCGGTCTCTGTATTCTTGCTAGCTCGGAGATCCTGAGGTTGCCAGGAGAGGGTTGATGCACTCTCGCTCTCTTCCTCCCCGTGGAAAGAGAGAGCCAACGCGATACGGTATTGTACATCTTCTGGATGCGATGCCGTTTGTGTTCTGCGCTAGCTGGAAACCCATCGTCCTTTCAATCGGCCAAGTTTCCTTCTGGCTTAAGATCAGGACTCTCGATCGCGCGAAGTCACTGTACTCACGCAGACCCTCCCTCGAAACGATCCAACGTCCATTCTTTCGGGCTTGCATCGCGCACAGTGTTAATATCTATCGATCTTGGCGCGATTAATACTCGGACATCGCTGTAGAATATACCAGTTTCACGAAAATAGTAACGAGAAACGTTTGGAGTCGTGAGCCTCGTTCTGATCGAGATCGCGAGGTAAGTGGAGCATTCTTTTGAACTTGCATCGCGCACAGTGTTAATATCTATCGATCTTGGCGCGATTAATACTTAAACATCGCTGTAGAATACGCCAGTTTCACGAAAATAGTAACGAGAAACGTTTGGAGTCGGGAGCCTCGTTTTGATCGAGATCGCGAGGTAAGTGGAGCATCCTTTCGGGCTTGCATCGCGCACAGTGTTAATATCTATCGATCTTGGCACGATTAATACTTGGACATCGCTGTAGAATATACCAGTTTCACGAAAATAGTAACGAAACGTTTGGAGTCTCGTTTTGATCGAGATCGCGAGGTAAGTGGAGCATTCTTTTGAACTTGCATCGCGCACAGTGTTAATATCTATCGATCTTGGCGCGATTAATACTTAGACATCGCTGTAGAATACGCCAGTTTCACGAAAATAGTAACGAGAAACGTTTGGAGTCGGGAGTCTCGTTGTGATCGAGATCGCGAGGTAAGTGGAGCATTCTTTCGGGCTTGCATCGCCACAGTGTTAATATCTATCGATCTTGGGGCGATTAATACTCAGACATCACTGTAGAGTATACCAGTTTCACGAAAATAGTAACGAAACGTTTGGAGTCTCGTTTTGATCGAGATCGCGAGGTAAGTGGAGACCCCGGGCCAATTTGGATGGCACGCATGTCAGTCTCGCGTATCAAAGGGGCCAGGGACGTGCACCGGCAGTCATTACGTCGAAAAGGTGGATGCAGAGATTTGGTCTTTCCAGCGGATTCCCTGAAGTAGGGAGGATACGGCTTTGTAGAGTCCCGGTACACACGCGACCGGGAAGAACCGTTCCTTTGTGTGTGCGTGTGCGGCGCACCCTTTATCCCGAAGGATCACTCCCGGTTGCTCCTTCGTCTACGGGGACCATTATCCGGCAGTTTCTCACAGTAGAAGCTTCTTCGAGTGTCCAAGAAACTTTGTGAAAGACCGGTCCCGTTTCCGTTCTTCCTCTTTCGTGGCTGCGGAGGACACCAGGAAATTATTTCACTCGACTGTGTACGTTCCTCCTTCGCTGTTCCGTTTCCACCTCCGCACGAACAGATCGTATCGCTGGAACAGTCGTGTACGAAGGGCGGAAAAGTCTCCACGAAGAAACTTTTTCGAAAATTTGTAACGGGAAGAGACCTCAAACTGTTCCACTTTGATTTCATCGTGCTTTTATGTGACGATACAGGCTCTCAGAGAACAACGAAAGTCATTTTTAAAACTTTCTGTCTCGTTTCCAAGTTACAAGAAAATCAAAGATGGCCGACTTCGAGGGGTCAATTTCTACCCCTTAAAGTGTATTTGAAAAAAAAGAAATTGAGCTATATCTGTCTGTATATGCTCTATATACCTAAAAAATTTCAGAATTATATTAATTTCCAATGAATTTCTCTTTCCTCTTTCCACTAATTTTTTGCAAACGTCGAATAAGAAAACCGTCCAAGTTCGAGATTCTTCGCGGTTCTCGGGGGCCCTCGAAGATTTTCGCGAAAATTTAGCTCGAACGTGCGGGGTCGAAGGGTCAAGGTGACGTGGCTCGAAGCTCTCGTAACTCGAAGCAACTTCATATTTAGCGCGCGAGTTTGCCGTGTACGGCGTCGACGTGAGGACTCGCGAGAGTACGCTGTTCGAATATTGAAATTCATCGTTCCGCGGGAACGAGATACCCCTGAGCGCGCGCTCCGTCCGTGGCTACTTATGTTTTAGCGACGTGCCTGGCAACATTGTTTGCAAAGAGTCAGCACGGCTTCGCGGAACATAGACCAGCCACGAACAGGACAGGCTTTAGACCCGGGCTCTACCTATTTGCATAGGTGTAGCCGCTCCTTCGAATGCACGTACACGTGCAACGCCGCCGTGGAAGCACGTTTCTAAGTATGTTTGAACAAAACTCCTGCCAGCGTACCCTTTCTAACCTCTGGCGAACGTTTGCTCGTCCATGATCGTCCGTGGATTCGCGATC